CTGCCGCCACTCGCCGTTGCTGCTGCCGCCGCTCGCCGCTGCTGCCGCCGCCGCCGCTCGCTGCTGCTTCCTCGTTTCTCCATAAAGCTTAGTATACTCTTAATATTAAGTTTATTTGAATTATGAAATGATTAATTTTCTGTTAATAGATTAATAATATATTATTTTGATTTTAATGTTGTTAATTTTTATTTATTTAAAATTATTAATTATATTATATATTTTTATATTTTAGCGCCTCGCTTCGCTCGGGCGAGCGCCTGGGCGAGCGCCTAGCGCCTCGGGCGTTTGTGGACCTTGGCGCCTTTTGGCGCCTAGCGCTTTTTAAATCACTGGAATGACCCAGAATAGTTCAATAAAGTTGACTTCTAGTAAATGTGCAACTACTTCATGAAAATTTCTCCTTTCTGTTATTCTTAATGTTGTCTACATTGAAAGCTCTTATCATCCATATGGTCCAATTCTAAATTCGAGTTCTCTTCTATAACATTAATGATATTTTTCACTTTTATTGCTATCTTTATGATCATCCATATTATTGCTTTTTGGTATTGATTTATCTTGCAGGCTCTGGGTTTTGCTTTGATGGGCCTGGACAAGTCATTGCCTATTCAAACATCTAAAAATAGCATGCAATTGGCAATGGGCATGAGGTAGGAATACACAATATAATGTTTTGCACAGTGTTTAATTTTCCCCTTATTTCTAATTTTTCTTACATTTTCTAGTGTTGATATGGTCAAGATCATCTGCACCTTGATCTTCAAGTCAGTACAAGATGTCAGCAAAACACAAATACTATCTGTCTCTTTGGACATATTGACTGAGATGCTCAAATGGTAAGCTAAATTGTAGTTGAAGCCTAAATTCTGATCTTATTTGTGTTTTTGATAAAGGTATACATGTTTTTTCCCACTATCATTTGTATTATATTTACATATAATCCTCTGTTGATGTCTTTTTTCTTTAAATTTCATTTATAGTATGATGTGGTACTGAACACTATCTTTAATATCACCTGATCTTCCTACTTTCATCTGTTCATATTTTTGCGAAATATGTCGTTAACATTGATAACCACTGATATTGCTGTTGTACTTGCTACATACTTGAGAAGAAATCTGTAATACTCCATAGTTATCAGGTTCTGTCATGTTACAGAAATATTTACAGAGAACTTTTGTTTACAGAAATATTTTTGGCAATGCTTACAGGTTACATTGGTCCTCAGAACCAAAAAGTAAGCAAGAAATGATAATTGAAGTTGATCTATTATAATGTGCCTCTTATAAAAATTAGGCTGGACGCAATAGGGATAATCAACTGGGCAATAACTATTGCTTGATCCAATGTTTTAAATGTTGATCCAGTACTGGTTTCAGTTTTCTACTGGACCGATATGGTACTAGTATACCAGGCAGTATATCAACCCATACTGCCCGGTATTAGTTGAAAAAAAAAAAAAGACTAGGTACCTACTGGTACTGGACCACCGGCTAAAACCTGTTGGTACACATAGTACCAAACATGGTTTGATCTAGGTCATATTCTGTAGTTGATGTTTCTTAGCAGCAGCCATATGGTTTGACATTTTCCTACACTAACCTAGTGCATGAGCCTTCGACGATGTGGGGATTGGGGAGTATAGAATATCTAGATCTATTCAAGAATGCAGTGTGACCTCTTTTGGTATCTAAAACCTCAAAGCCATGAATTTAGTTGGAATGGAGCAACCTGTGGCTGAGGTTCAATTTTCATATTTTGACCTAGATACGTGATATAATAATTTTTTATAACAAATTGTGGAATTTCATTTGGTTGACGTCCAAAATATGGTCACTAGAGCTTCTATATATTGACTGTACTGCATTAATGTTTTATATTTTGGAATTTACAACTTAGTGGCTGCTGTATGTCAAGGAGCATATAACATGGTAAATACATGGATTGCTGTACCTTCTGCCTCAGGTTCATGTAAGCTTGGATTGAGTGAAATTAAATTCCATGACTTCATAGTTGGCTTTTTTGAGTCTAAGGGAGAAAAAGGCTCGAAGGGTAGCTGCTTCCGTTCTCCACTTTGCTTGTTTGCCATCTCCTTGGCCACCGTATCTTCCACTCTGTTGCTTGATTTCTTACTTCCTTGAGGTCCTACCCCTCAAATCCTTGTGCCTTAAAACCTGTTGCTCATCACCATTCTTGCTTCTTCTCCACCCTTTTTCTCCTTTTAGACTCTTGTTTACTCGAATGATGCTGACAGAAGTTTTCCCTCAAAACTATGCATTCCTTCTTTATTCTATTGGCCGCGGCATTTTGTTTCTCCTAGCCCTTTCAGTCATGTAATTAGTTTGTCATTATTGATGTACAGCCTCTTATTTGTCCTCATTTTTGTAACAAATTGACATTTCAAACATGTCAATTTTTAACTTCAGATATGGACAAAAGTTATTTTCATAGCAAATTTATTCATTAAGAGCTCATAGCCCATTTACAATGCAACTTATCTGTGTAGATGCTCAAATCCTTTCTCATTTATTATTAGTTTCTTTATCATGCATGTGTCTTACTGTATTTTTATGAATGAGTAAATTGTTTATCTAGAGCCACTACCACAGACATTTCCCCCATTGAATTAACAAAAAGGGACATTAGGCACTTGAGCCCTCAATCCTTTCTTTTTTTGCATGAACCACATGCTCCTTCCTGTAGTTTGTTATAAATATGAAATACACATCTAAGATTCTGAGCAGCCATTTGTTATCGTTTGTGAATCACTCGACTCCACCATTTGAGCTATGCCTTTAAATTCTATTCACAATTGATTGTGCTACTGTGGTTGTCCTTTCATCTGATTTTAATGCCTTTTTCTTTGGAAGTTCTGTGATGCTTTATAATTTGTTCAAGATGTAGTTACTTCTTGTAGTATCTTAGGCAAATGTACTCTCCTAAGCATCATGTACCCTAAATCATTCACTCCTCTAAACTGTATATTTCTATCTGAATAACATGACATTTTTTATTGTGAACTATTCATACCTCATCTTAGATCAATATGAACATTGCAGTTCAAATTCACTTTCCAGCCTGCGCTTTACACTTTTCACTTCACCGATCACCAGGATGGTGAATAACTGTGTCTCTGATATGTAAATAAAAATTATGAACTTTTTCATTTCAAATTGACAAGAATAGCCATTTTGCAAAATCATCACTAAATATTCCATATCAGTGTTTAAAACTTATACGTTGTTATCCATGCCATCTTTGCCTTCACTATTGCTGAGAAGTACTGATGACATGCTGTTATGTGTGTTGGTGAAGATAAAACATTTCTTAGTGCACTCTGTTCACAATCTTTCCTGTCAGTTACTGATCTTTAAATCCTGATATTGTTTGGAGTAACAGTGCATTTTTTTTTTCTTAGAAATAATTTTGAGTTAATTGTAGCTTCTTTTGATGTAGCGTACCTTCTCATGTTATTGAGGCAGTGGTGAAATCAAATATTTTTGATGTAAATACTAGTGGCACTTCAAGGTAAATCTTTGATCGACACGGTTCTCTTTAATTTGTCCATAAAAATAGATGTAGGTTCTTAATTCTTGTCACTTATTCTTGTTCATGAGTTAATTTTGTGATAAAATGATGCTTTATTTGTACCATAATCTCTTGCTATTATGTAGACATTCTTATTCGATGTAATCTTTCACTGACTTCTATACTCTTTTGTTTCATCTGGCAAATTGCATGAAATGGTACTAACTGCACATGAACTTTGCACCTTGCTTCCTATATATATCAATTCAAACAGATACATGTATCACATGAGTCTTTTACTTTTTTCTGAGCATAAGATCAGACGAGCACTGATCCATAACTTATTTGGTTAAAGAAAATGACGAAAGCAACCAGGAGTTATTGTAAAGGATTCCCAGAGATGAACAGCTATGATGCTTTTATCAAAAACTGAATCATAGAATGATTCTATTTGGTGAGCCTGCGTACGCATTTTCTTACATAAATGTTGATCTAATCTGTGATTAGAAACTATTACTCAAAATAAAAAGGCTGGTACATGAAAGATGCATGGTGATTACTGTTTGGAGGTCAAATCTGATTCAGCTCAGGTGGTCATATTGGGTTAAATCGTGATGTTAGCTTTAGCCAATGGAAGGCCTTATTTTCATGGAGCTTTTCTGTACTTAAATAGACTTTATGTACTAGAATACCGCAAATGAAGCTTTCGGTAATTAAATGGAGCTTTCTGAAGGAATTACTAACACTTGATGGCCAGAAGAACAAGATCTGAACTGGCTTGATTTAAAGAGAAAAGAAATATTAAACTACAAGGGGATTTTCAACTTGCACTTAGATTGTTGTATCTTCAGTTTGGTTCCTTTTGTTTTAGTTTTGGATCATGTCTAATGTTTAGTCATAAGTAAAGCCTGAGTCAAATTTGGAAATCTACCTTTACTGGTTTCTAGGAAAAATTGAAAAATATTTGTTGTGTAGACTTCTTCTAATAAAGAGGTTTATTATTATTTTACAGTTTCCCCTCCAACTTATAAGGAGTCAAGATGCAATCTATAAAAATAGATTTGAAAGGGTCCAAAAATGTACAAAAGGCCAACATGTACTGGAAGTCTGGAAGGATGGCAATTTTAAATATTATAAACTGGAAGACACTACTGAACAAGGAAGAGATACTGTCTTTGGGTTTTATAGAAGATACATAGTAATATTATGTCATCTAGACTTTTTTCTTGTGTTATCTATTCTTTTACAATTTTCATTTTGTTTTCTTTGATATTAGCATTTCCTTTGCATCTATTTCTATTTAGAGTTTTTTGCTTGATTCTTTGAAGTATCTTGACAAAGAATGATATTTTATATATTTAGCTGCTTGTAACATTCTGTTTTCTGTTTCATTTTAGGAATTAGGACATCCTTTTTTTCCCAATGTGTTAATAATAGATTTTTTTTTCTGTGGTTGTCACTATCTGGGAGGACATGGCTGTTGATTTGACTAACTCTAGTAAATCATGATTAATTAATTTGAATTTTGGTTGATTTACTTGTCTATCTTGACCTTTTCTATGGAATTGATTCCTGCTATTTTGTTTCATGCACTTTAGCTAAACGATTTATTCTAAAGTTTTGTTCTTTGACATTGTGAAAGTTTTTGGTTCACCTCAATTTTAGGTGTCATCAGTAGTGTTTGAAAATTGACATAAAATTTGGATCAGCACTGTGACTTTGGTTCTTGAATAGGCATAAAACCAAGTTATTTTTCTCTTGAAAAATAAGTCATAAGGAATAGGTAAGTGGTGAAAATGAGAAGAACGCAAGGACAAGAAATATCAGGGTGATTGACAAACCCATATGTCATGCATGTCATCTTTGGCTTATCCCCTTTGTTGGTGGGGTCGGTTGAAAAATTTTCTTTCATCTTCTTTTTAATATGATCCTACCCTTTGATCCCATGTTCCTTTTTTTGTTGGTCTTCCTCTAGGCTTTCACCATTAAGTAGCCCATCCCATGATCTTCAAGATGTTTTGTGGAGCACAATCTTGTGTTGAAAGATGCACTTAATCTAATCGAGGCATTGAAGTCTCTTTTCAATAGATCTGAAACACCCAGGGAGCTGATGTATTTGTTTTGCTAGTGCTCCATAATTTGTTTGATCAAACAAGTTGACCCAGTGGAGCTTTCCCACGAAACATCTTCTTAAATTAAAAGACTTGAATCTAACATTATCATGATTGGACATTAAATGAGATTCAAAAATTCATTGTTTGGAATTAAATCCAGTTTCTTAAAAGTTTGATCTTAATGAAGTGATCTCTCTATTTGCAAGTTGCTGCATGAATCAACTGATTTCTGTTAGGAATCTGGAGTCCTGGAGAACAATGTCATGGCTTATTAATGTCTTTGTCATAGATTTAATTTCTTCTGACACCATTGGCCATCATGGTCAAGCGGCACACTGATGTTAAACCCTAATAGCTGATATAATTTGTTCGATGTTGAACTTACATCTTTATTTTATTATTTTCTGAACAAGATAATCACTTTTAGGATTATCTTGTTCAGAATTTTTAGAATTCATGATAAGAATTTTGAAGTATTGGATTTTAGTTACAAGCAATTGATAAAGTCACTTGTGTGTCTATAAAGCGTGACATCACTTTTGTTTTCAGTGGTACTTGGTTGCTTTCAGGAGGCCTTGTTAGGATGCTGATGGAAGACTCTGGGGAAAAGGATGATTCTTATGCATTAGCTGCTTCAGGCATGTCTTCTCTTTTCAAAATAAATATCTGTGCTCTAATTTGAATTCTTTGCATTTATATTATCTACATCTTCTGCAGAAAACATGTCGTACTTTCTTATCTTGCTTCTTCCTTATTGGGTTTTTACATCTGTAAAATCTTCCTAACCATGAACTGCCAGTGAATCGATATTTTGACCTTTTTTTTTAAACATCATCCCTTTAATGTCGATCTTCTCATGGTGAAGTTGGTGTGCGTTGTTGATGATATATTTCGGATGATGAATATCTATATTAATATAACAGACCTGTTTTTGTGCTCAGTAAGCTTCTTATGAATTACTTCCACATGTGGTGGTCTCCTGACTGAAGAAGGGTAAAGACTAAAGACATTGATGGACATGGAACTCCTAGAAACTCGGGGATGCTAATACATATCTAATTAATACATAGAGCCTACATAAAGGGTAATAACCAACCATTGATATGTACTTTGATTTCATTGGTTGCTCTTCTTAGCCAACTTTCACTGTGTTGATATACCCACTGAAAGCATCAAGATATGGCTAGAGTTTATGTTGTCTAAATTATAAGATCAACAAGGTTATCTGCATAAAGTGTCTCTGGCCATCAAGCTCTGTTGAGGGCACATCACTAGTGTGATCTTGATCATTGATTTTATGAATGCTTAATTATGTCATAACTAAGTGTGCCATTATGTCATTGCAGTTCTTGATTTCACTGTTCAGCTTGTGGAGAAAGGAGCAGAGGATAACTTGGTTTCTGCTTTTATTATATTCTCTCTTCAGTATGTCTTTGTCAATCATATGCATTGGAAGTACAAGTCAAAGCATTCTTGTTGGAAAGTGACACTGAAGGTTGATTCTTCTATTCCTTGTGCTTGTATAAATATTCAATGTTATTGCTCTGCCCATGGTAGTGCATGTAAGATTTAATCCTTTCTTACTCATTTGTAATTCCTCTTCTTGTGTTTATGGAATGTGCTCATAATGTTGATGTGTTATACATGTAACTTCAATCTGTGCTTCCTCTACATATTAATCGACATAGACTACTTTAATCATTGATCAGCATTTGTTTTGGGTGACTTATGAAACTTCATTAGATTGATGATGATATTTTGCAGGTTTTTGAAGTAATAAAGAGTTGCATCAGAGCATCAAAGGATTCACAAAAGCTCAGTGGCATCATATGGGACATTTTACTTTATGACTCCTCTGTCCATAATATCCTCTGCCGGATTATGTGTATATCAGCAGAGGCCTTGGTATGCACTAATGCTATTTTGTGATTTTTTTTTCCTTTGCCATTTTATCAAGTTCCTAATGCTGACAGTTCTGATCTGTGTGAATGATGAAAATAAACAGAGGTCATATATCAGTCACCATCATGAATTCAAGGAAATTGAATACCTTCAGCTTGCCATCTGTTCTGCTTTTGATGTATTATGCTCTATTATGCCTTATATATCACAGGTGAATAAATTTTTAATACACACTGACAATACTTGTCTACCGAAGTTTTTGTTGTAAGTTCTAATTTTTAGAAAAGATGTATTCATATAGTTAAATTCTGTTAGCACAGACTTACTAGTTCAAAGCAGTATTATGGTATTCTCTGGCTATTGTTGTGTTATCAGGAACTTTTAATAGCTTCCTTTGCTATTTATTTTGTGATTTTATCAAGGTTCTGATTCTAGTTTCCTGGATATGTTTGATGCACAATAGTGTTGCATGTTAAAATATGTCCATGGTGCAATGTGTGGTGATGCAGTAGAGGATTTGGCAAGGCGTAGACATCAAATGTATGCCATGGATCAAAATGTTAGTGGATATTCTTGTAGGTACCACTCTGATAGCTTCCCATCATGCTACAGATGCAGGCTGCATGCCATGTCATCATGTGTATCTCATTTGCTTTCTATTTAAAAATTTGAATTTTACCTATGCAATATACAGTTGTGTCAAAACTTGGTTACGCTTTGATCAGTGTTAAATAAAATCTATTAATGTGGTAAATTGCATCAAAAGAACTATATGAATGTGGACACAGCTTGGCATGGCTAGACATGGTGCAAAGTTTATACCTACAAAGTTTATACTATACTGTGCATGTGGTCAATCCAGACAGGTTTGGTACATCTTACTTTAGTTCTTCGCATACGTGTCTAGATTGCACTATTTTCGTGGCAACTATCGATATTTTAGCTTAGTGGAAAAAATTATATTTATAGGTTGTCATAAGGCAGCACTAGATCATTACTGTGTTTGCTTATTTTCACCATCTTTATCACCATGATTTAACCTTTTTTTTATCAATGTAAGAAAAATATCAATTATATCAGACCATTAAAATCTAAAAAGATTCCAAGCATTCTAAGAATTTACTAGTGTTATGAATCTGATATTTAATGATATGACAAATTCTTATCAAGGTGAACTTGGGCAAGATGAATGATTGGTTTTGCAGTTCATGCTCTTGCACAATAGAGCAACCATCTCCTCCCAAAGGCATATATCCATGGAGGAAGAATTTTTTCATGATAGAATGCCTGCATGCTTAAGAAATAGGAGCTTAAATAACAACACAAGCAAGATATAATATACTCATTTCCAATTGCCACTAGTTCAGAATTACTTTTGCAAGATGAATTTAGATAAGAAAACAGAATACAAGTGAAGACCTAATATTGGTGGATGGGAAGATTGAGTTTGCAGTTCAATCTCTTGCAACAGTGGTGCAATAATCTCCCTTCCTAAGACATATATCCATAGAAAATAAATACAAAAACCTATTTCATGATAGAATGCCTACATGTGCAAGATATAAGAGCTTATAGGATAGGTAAAAAAAAAGAAGATACAATGTACTCATAACCAATTGTCACCAATCGAGATTCTCCTTTCGGGAGTAGTTTGAAATTTGAATTGCATGATCCTTTGGGATGACTAATACACTTGTTCATACTTTGGTGCTTCATGAAGGAAAAATGACGAATCATGGTTCGCTTTATCGGTCCATATCGGTATGCCGATCAACCGTCGGTACGGTATGTACTAACATACTGACACATGGTACAGTGGGGTGTACCGATAGATTGGTATGTACCGCTCATACCGATTCCCTATTGGATCAGTATGTACTGCCCGTACCGAGCGGTACATCGTGGTATGATGAACCTTGATTTTAATCATGTAACCTTTGTAACTTGATTGTTGATATTTGAAATTTTAAGTAGAGCTCCAATCCCGAAAGAGAAATGGATCATATGGGTGTCCAAAATTTGCCTTAAGTAGTTGGTAACTTGAGAATATTTCTGAACATCCAACAAATGTCCGAATAGCACCTGTTTTCCACATCTGTCAATATGAGGCAGATGTGTTTTTAAGTATCAGATGTCCAAAGATTCTTAAGTGTTTAGAAATCATCTTGGGACATCACATTAATGGCCATGATTTTAAGTTTTAGAGTTGGCTGTTTGTTGTGTATTGTACTAAATCAGCAAGGCACCATTATGTTAAAAGTTAGTTTGTACAAGATGACAAGTAAGGTGGTGGTGAAAATCAAAGCATGTCATTGGCCACCTTGAAGTGGAAGAATTAAGTTTAATGGGGACACATCATAAATGAGAGAATGATAGGTTTTGATATCAATTTCGTGTCATTTTATGACAAAAGAACAAGTTGTTACAGAAAAGACTAATAAACAAATGATCCTTATGTATTAACTTTATGTTCCGGAATACAAACCTTATGAACTTTGACAAGAGTTGTGAATGAGCTGAACATGAACAAAAGATAGCACAATCATGCTTGGTTCAATCAAACAACCGATGTTTGAGCTTGGACTGATGTTGATGTTGTCTGTGAGACAAATTTTGCTGATATTGAGCATGAGCAAACTAGCTCCAGTTTAGCTTGTTTGCCTTCCACTGGTTTTGCTGCTTCATGGTGAGAGGAAGCAGCATCATGAAGGCAGCAACCTTGGGTGCAAGCAAAGACAGTGCATGTTGTTGCAAGAGGGAAACCTTAATATAGCTGAGAGCAGAGTAGGATAGTTCAGATGGCTAGGCAGTGGTGAAGGTGATGCCAACCTTACTCCATGCAGGCCAGAGATGTCCATGGTCCACTTCTGTTATCAGAGTTGGTCTATGCAAAGGGAAGGGCTGAAGGGGGTGATCAGCTAGTCGTCACCCATGTCAACCATCATGGGTGTCTACCGCATGTGGTGCTAGCCGCCAAAGATAAGGCTCTCTCAGCCCCAAGTGGAAGACAAAAAAGGAAAACTTTATATCTAGGGTTAGGTGTCACCTACGGGTTTTATATGGACTGACATTAACAGTACCTGCTATATTTAATGGATAAAAAGAATAATTCTCTCTATATATAAGATTTAGTTCTATGGCTATGCTAATTCAGAATATATATCATATGTGTGTGTTGATTAATTTACAGTCAAGGTGTTTGACTTGATTAAATGAGATCATGTGTGTATTGCTTGGTAAAAAATTTGTGTTGAATGACTGAGCTGTGTTGAATGGGCTTAAAATTGTCTACAAAGGATGGAATATACTGTTATCTGATTTTGTCTCTTGATTCCAATGTTTATGTGCCACTAGAAGTTTCTATTTTGAATTTATTTTTCATGTCATTCTCTAACTAGAAGTAGCATGCTCTTGAATTTTAAGAATCTTCTGGTGTTCACTTTTATTTGTTAGATATGACTTTTTGTCTCCAAAACATATGATTAAGCTCTTATATTATATGTGAAAAATGGAATGTTATATGTGAAAAATGGAATATTTTAATTGCTTCATATATCTCTTTCCTGCAAACAATGTGACTACACTTCAAATTTGTTCCAATATAGTGGTTTTCTTTGTTCATAAATACAACTGTTTCCTTCTCTTCAGTAAGCACTAAGCAGTACTTGAAATTGCCTATACTGATTTTAGGAAACTGCTTCAAACGTGTCAGCTCTTGTCCAGATGGTGTTGTCACCTTCAATTAAACCATTCCCTGTTGTTCAAGCAACAGTGTCCTTGATTTCCTTCTCTGAAAATTCTGTAAGTTCAATCTATTCTCCTTTTTTGCTTTACTTTTTTGGGTTCCAAGTTCATGATAATCTTTGTTGTCAACTTTTTTTTTTTCAATTTAGCTTTTAGTATGTATTGTGTTTATTGCAGGCATCAAGTAGGAACGGTTCTGACATGTGTAGAATTATAGTAATGGTGTTTGGGGTCCAATCTATGCTTTATTTTTTTGCTTCAAGTGTTCAGGCTGCACATGATTTTTTGTACATTTTGCTTACTTCAAGAGCACCAAATTAGGAATATTTCAAACATGAGTTTCTCCATCACTCCATCAGTATTGTGATTCTCATGATTTCTGTTAGTCTGCTACAGAATCTAGACCCTATTCTCTGACCGCTGACATTGGACCCATATTGTTCTCGCTTTTTTGATTGCTTGTGCTATGATCTATGTTTATTATTTTGTACTCTTGCTCTTTCTGTGTATATGGATATATATCTATATCTGTTTCTTCTATCATAGTTATACCATCTTTAGATCATTTTATCAAGGAAAGATTTTTCTCCATGTGTTATGTAGATATCTTACTGTAGGATTTCAGCTTGGGAAATGGAAAGGTTTTTCTTTCAAGCTAGGCAATTAACTGAAAAGAAATAAAAAAAATATTACTTGAGATTTTGCCTGAGGCTATTGAAACACCGGAAAATTGAGATTAATTGGTGGGGACAATGTGGCTCTTGCCTCAACCTTTATTATCCTTGCTTAAAGCCTGACACATTTCTTTGATAAGTATAATGTTCTCTAAAATAGAGATAACATGGTCAATTGGCTCAGGTGTACATATTTCTCTCGTATGCTTTAATGATTGCTTATACTGCTATATTAACTCATTACAAGTCTTTTTATGCAATTAGAAAGTCACCTTATGTGTCAGTTTGGATTGCACAAATGTATTTTGCTTTGGTTGACACATCTATCCTGATCTAGCTACATAATTTGTGAAGCTGCAGCTCAAATTGTTCAGCATGTATAAAGAAGATACTTCTTCTATAGCTGTTCTGAACAGTCGAGCTAATCTTTTTTTCCTTGGCAATTATAGGTTTAATCCATTTCCAGCTTACACTTGGAGTTGATATCACGTAAGAGAATTTTTGTTTTTTTTCTTTTTCAGGCCATTCAAGTGGCTGCGACTAGAGCTCTTTCCTCTTTGTGTTTTATAGCATCGAGACTTCAGTCATACACGGTGGAGAATGTCAGCCCTGTTGCAGAAGCTGTTCAGGTTTGTATCATTTCCTCCACAGATTCCTTTACTATTATCTATTTTGAAAGTGAAGATAGCATCTACCTCTTATTTATTATACCTCCCATTCAGAAAAAAAAAAAACTGCAGATGGCTGTTTTGTGCATTTTAGATAAGGATCATTATCTATTCTGAAAGTGAAGATAACATCTACCTCTTATTTTTTATACCTCTTTTTCAGATAAAAAATCTGCAGATGGCTGTTTTGTGCATTCTAGATAAGGAAGTGAAGATAGATGAAGATTTGATCATTGCTACATTTGATCTTCTAAGTGCTGTTGCTTATTATCAGGTCAGATATTTTCCCTAAAAATGTTGCATCATCAAATATTAGCATCAACAATTGGACCAACTTTCAGAGTGTTTTTCCAGGCAATTTTTCTTGATTCATTATGCAGGTTTACAGTTTTAAATTAATCTGCTTACATGGTTGGCAAAACAATAGGGTTAGGATCAAGAAACCTACAACTTGGCCATCAAAGATAAAAATTTAGATCCTTTGTATATTTTTGAACTTCAAGTTGGCACATAATATAGTATGTGAGTATTGGTTCTTACTCAAGTTTATTAACAAGTTCTCTTTCACCTTTGAATATCTTACATATATAGGATCCGTTTTGCTGTTAGGCATACATATTCTTTGTAATCGAATGTCATTTCTGCTTATCCTACATAGATCCAACCCTTGATTGTATATGGCGAAATGACACTAGGATATAAAAGGTTCAAACAAACTTCATACTTCATTCCAAACAATTCTTGTTTGTTAGTTGACTTTTCTCCAATATAGTTTTCATTCTTAGCCCATTGTTTATAAATGGTGTTTGAGCATTTTTAAGATAGTAACATTTTTAAATTAATTTTCTCATATAATGCATGTTTTAAAATACGAGTCCTGTGACACACAATATTAGCTTGGTACTTTTCTGTCATGTCCTTGGCTAAGATTGCCTAATGCGTGCGGCACAAGGGTACGTAAACCTTGTGCACTCCACAAAGGACCTACACAACGAAGACAAGGTTAGAAAGGCGAACGTGCAGGTAAGTTGTCACCGTTGTGCATGAAAAGGACAAGATACCGGGATACAAAGTAACACAAAACAACTAGCTTTTATTAGGCTCAAAAGGGTCTTGAAAACAGGCTAAACACACACAATGGGGGCTCCGAAGGTAGATACAGGTCTAATGTTCACATAGCACCTTCGTCGAATAGAAAATGAGCACACTAAAGATGATGCATCACCTCTCAAACATATACCCAAAGCACCGTCCACTCGGGTGCTACCCAGGGGGTTCCAAGGTGTTAAGACAGCTGGCATTTCACACCGCTAGTCCGTTAGTTAGAAATCAGCTCGTGGCACATGAGAATGGTGCTGTTTTGGGCCATTTTGTGCAGCGTTGCACAACTAGAAATGTTTGAGTTTTACATGACCGAACACAAAACAAAAACACTGGCAACAAACAAAAATGGGGCTGACAATAGTGTTTTCTGCCCCGTAAAAGCTGTCCTAAAGAAAAAAAAACAAAAACATGAAGAATACAACAAAAAACCAGAATTGAAAACCGCCATGGACAAGCGTCGAACACCTTGTCTGCATTGCTCAATGACATTATTCGGTACATCAATTTTTTTATGAACTTTAAGTGATTCCGAGCAGTATGTCAATACCATAGCTGTCCTACAGATTGTTGAGATCTGTAGTGGACTGGTGTTTAAAACTTTGGTCATAATGTAAGGATTATGTTTTTAGTACGAAACACCATACAAGCTGTTGTCTGGTAATGGTATTTTCTAAGATAAAAAAAAGAAAAAGATGGAGAGAAAATACAAAACGGCCTTGACTTTGGTCGTATATCCTTTTCTTTTGTGGTGATTACCTGTGATATGGTTTAAATAATTGGAGGACTTGTGGTTGTTTTGAGTCTTTTGACCAAGCTAGACTTAGCTTATATAAGCTGATATAGAATTGGTTCGCTTTAGTTGGGTTGGTCAAAACTAGTTTGACCAGGCATGTATTTATTAAACCCAGTACAGTTGGAGGCTTGGATATTGAACCAGTTGTGTATCAACTTCTGAATATAGCCCGTTTGCATCATTTGTGAACTTCTGAAATAGTGCTGAAGCATTTGAAACCCTATTGAATCCTTAATACTTTTTTGAAACTGCCCTTGATATTTCCCTTCTCCTAGAATTAATTGGTGCTGGAAAACCATCAGCTCGGGATGCATCATTGAATTTGGCAGGTGTACCCAATGCACGAGCTCTCGCCAATGTGGGTCTTGGGATGCATCATTCTAAATATAGAGCTGTTTCCATGAGTTGAACCCTAGTCTCTCATGTTGTAAGACAGGAGCAATCTCACCCTTGTACCTAGGTCTGCCCTCTGAAAAATAATATTCCATTGTCAGTATTTGAACACAGGTCGCCTGGGTGAAAGCCAAGCATCCTAAGTGGACTGGATGACAATGGAATCTTTATCATTCGATTTGGCGTGAGACTTAAATCTTGGATTCTTGTCAAGACTGCCAATTTTGTGCCTTGTTCACTTGCCAAAGTGGGATTTTTGTCGGAAACATTTCATTTTAGCTGATAATGAAATCCCTAGGCGAAAGTCCATGTCATTGTTATCTAGCGGATCTAGTGCACAAGGCTCCCACCAATGCGGGTTATGGGAAGTATCTATGTTTGCAGCTTTAAACCTATATGTAAATAGGTTGTTTCTATGACAAAGATACACTTTGATGGTGATGATACTGATGATGAGTACTGATTTGGTAGGGCCAGTGGCACGGATGCAGGGGGGATCATGACAATAAGCGACACTGCAGGTGACAACAGACAATGAAAGGGGTCACACGAGAGTGTATTGTAATGCCCTTGCCCTATGTAGATTGCCTAAAGCTGGTACATACAGGTTCAGATGTAATTGGATTCCTTGATGGGTTAATGTTGTCATAGGGGATTGTCACATATTTCTGTCATGGTGCAGATACTTGATGTCACTTTTTTGTCACATAGCATGCTGCTATATTTTCGACATGCCTTCGTGTTCGAAAATTTTGGAAAATTATTATGTAGCTCATAAGGAGTTTCTGAATCATGTCTCGAGTCTCGGTTGATCTCTTCTTGGGTTGATTGAATGCATTAGGATCAACTTGTCTTGATCTAAATCTTCTTCTAAGTTCTGATTTTGGACCAAATTAGTAGTTCTAGACCTAAATTTTAAACCCATTGATATGGATTAACTGAAACCATAGAAACCTATCTCAAGCTGATGGAGAATCATCTAGGTTTATTTAGGATTTTAGGAGAATTTATTTTAGACAAAGAAATCAATAAAAAGGCATCAATTAATTGGCCTAGAAACACTAAGAGTTGTGTGAAAAAATGAAGAGTGTTTTGGGTTTTCTAGGTGTTCACCTTGGGACTCTACTTTTGTATTAAGTGCATTTTTTTTTCTTCTCAGTTGTGATAAATTTTTTTAAGGTTATTTAGGTCTCGTAGAAGTCACATTTTGAGTTTTTAAAAGATATGCAAATTCTCTAGGAGGTTGCTTTTGGGAATTATTCTCTTCATTGATTATATTAAGGCTTCTAAGCCCCTATAAATAGTGGAACTTATCAATGAATGAAATACTTCAGATTTGAATAAAAAAAACTTACATCTTCCCTCTTTTAGTTTCTTACTCTCCTCTCTAATCTCACTCCTCTCTTTCTCTCTCTCCTCATTTCTTTTCCATTCTACATCACAAGCCCTTCAAAATTTTCAATAAAATATATATTTTGTTGTTCTTTATGGAAATTCACTATCTTGATTTGGATTGATCAAAACCATCAAAACTTGAACCATAGTGTTAAAATTATTAAAAGTATATTGCAACTACTAAGATTTTGTCAAAAATATATGAACTACATAAACTCTCCTTTTGAGCATCAAACTGAAGTGGAAACCAAGAGTGGATAGCTTGGTTTGATAAAATTTTGGCTGTGGAATAGATGATTTATATGAAACATCTATAATTCTGGATTTGTGAAGTTAAAAGAGTATCATAAATCCTCGTTGGGTCTGAAAGGCGAAAGCTGTTTCCTGAAGATCAAGGTGCAAGTGCCAACATGGAGAATAAATTCAAGGAGACAATATGATTCAGTGACGATGAGTTCTGAAGTCAGAGTTTCATTCTTGACAACTGAACCTGTTGCGGCAAATAGAAATTGTAATTTGTACTTTGTAGGACATTTTTTGGAGTGACATAATGGGATGGTAATCAGATGACATAATGACTTTCATCCTTCTTCTCTTTCATGTTTCATGTGATGTTAGGAGAAATATAACAATTAAATTTGCACAATATCTGATAAATTTGTGTTTTTTTTAATTTTTTGTCGACATTTCTGCAATTAAATTGATCCACTTGCTCTTTCTGTGTCCACTTCTCTGCAATACTCTTCTAATGCACTTATTTAATTTCTTTATGAGATTTGTTCTTTGCACTTATATTTGCTTCATTTCAGCCCGCTCTCCTCAGTTCTCTGATATTTTCTGAGGAAAAAGAGGAGGTATCATCGGATGTCACCAGTGATTCAGTGAAGCAACTTGCTGCTGTTCCTGTTGCAGAAAATTTGGGTTCATATAGTGCTACTAGTCCAATTGAAGCTATTCGAAACTATGTAGAGAGTTCAGAGATTCTTTTCGACAGGTAACTTGTCATACCTTTTTTTTAATGATAGATCATATCTACTCTTAATTTTGCTTTTTAAATTTCCTTTAATCGTTCAATAAAAGTTAAATCTGCTTTTTTATCTTAATTGGGGAGGTTGCTTATAATTTTAGCTTCTCAAAGAAACATAAAACTTTTTTTTTGGTGGAAAATTTATCCTTATAAACTTGTTAGTTGGATCTAATATGTAATTTTTCTTATCGTTGCATTTCTAGTGTTTCTTAGTTTGACCAGGGAATCCTTGATGAAGCTCATAGGTTGTAAAGGATCTGTGCAACCCCAAATAGTTGGGTACCTATGGCTTCTTGTTAACATGTTGCTGTTGTGTTATCTTTATGGTGTTTGAGTAATTTTTGATGGCCTTATACCGGGTTGGATTATCCAATAAAAGAAACTTTTTTAAATTATATGCTGTTTCTTTCATTAATGCACTTGCTTGTCCTATACAGTTCTACTGCACTCTATCATGCGCCAATAGTTTGATTATCTTGATAGGAATTCTGCCTTTGCATAATTTTCACTCTATTTGTGATCATCGTTCAATTTTCTGTTCAATAAATTTTTTGATCCTATATATTATTTATTGGTGCAATGGATAGCATTACTAACATGGTGACACTTCCATATGTTGCAGTGCACCTCATTTACTGTTGAGTATCCTTAATTTTTTGAAGGCTTTATGGGAAGGGGGTATCCAATTTTCAAATATATTAGGGAAGATTAGGGTTTCTAAAAAATTCTGGGAACGCTTGTCATCATTTCTCTCTCCAACTCATGTTATGAATGGTCTGCTGAAGAAAAGTTTCAACAATTCGAAGACTCAGTGCTTATCATTAAGGTACTCTCCATTATGTCATATCAGAAAACTTTTCCATAGCAACAAATTACTTGTACTAGTCACTGCAACTAAATAGATTTTTCATTATCCTAACCCTAAAAAATCTAGTAGTTTTTCCATCACAGTAAGAGTTGGTGCTTCTTTGTAGGTACCGGTGCCTGGGTAATGTTCTAGGGATCATGGCACATGAACTCTTTTTTCTGGAAAAAATAATGCAATGTGAAAAACCTGAGAAGGTGACTTGCACAAGTACGGTTAATGCAACATCAAGACGTGCAAATGTACTGTATGCACAAGAGATTCTGTCCACCTGGTTTGTTGATAGCTCTTTTCTGGAAAACTTGATCAAGTCTTTCTCTGACATTGAATATGACAAAGAGGTTGTCTTTCGTGCGAAGGTGAATTACTAGTCATTTCAATCCTTTTTTTTTAATTTGTTGGTTTCTTATTCTTTTCCTTAATTATTACTCTATCTTGACTGATATTTGTCTACATTTTATATTGCTCTTTTATTTGGCAAAAGCCTCTCATGTTTGCTGTTAAGGTTTTAGAGGACAAGGAGAATCAGGCTGCTTGTTGATGTCTACATCAATTGGTAATGTCTAAGATGGAAAATGGTTTAAATTAATTGACTTTTTAACACTCTTAATAATGATGTTGGTGGTTTCAGATTTTATTTAATTTCACAAATAACTGAACTTGTGAGAAATGGTTGAGACTTGAGAGTCTTCAGACTGTGGAATTAAACCGCTGCAGCATTTGAAATAGATGATTACCAAGATGCTTTAGTGCTGTTTTGTCATATCAGTGGAGCCTGTCACACACACCTTATAAGGAAAGTTATTTTTTCATCAACTATATTAAATATTTATACACATTATTAAAATGTCCAAACATGATTGTATATCGAGATTCAATCTGAAACCTAATAGTGCCTTTTGCTTCTTGGGATATGACATGTAGTCAGTTATCTAGAAATTCAGCATTGATGGACCTACTTTGCATTACCAGCATATGCTATTTAGAGATAGAGATTTGACCTGGGTCTAATAATTGTTTCTTTCTAGTAGCTCGAACTGTCAAGGAATGCTGCACCAAGCTGCTGCTTATAAAAGTGGCCGTGGTGTTTACTATTACTTTGCTCTTTTTTAAATGAATAAATTTTAATATCTTCCAAAATAACTTTATTTTCTGATACGCAAAATCCTACTATTCTCTGTTGTCCAATGAACAAACAACCTTTTCCTAGCTAGTTTGCTTCATGGTTCGTCTTACCGGTCCGTACCAGTATACCGTTCAACTGTCGGTACGATATATACCAAGTTGTACCAACGAACGATACATGGGAGGCGTACCAATGTACCACTCGTATCGGTCCCCTATTGGACCGGTATGTATTGCCCATATCGAGCGGTACACCATGGTATGGCGAATCTTGGTTTGCTTATCAAAGTATTATTTTTTTCTCTAGGTGTTCTTTTTTCTGTTGACTCTTTTGTGTATATTAGACCAATAATCACTATTTGATCCTTGCTACTTTAGACAGCTATCATACAATTAGTTTGATTGTATTTCAAGTGATCTGTTCTACATTGTTTGTTTCCTTCTTTAAAGATTATTTTTTCTGTAGGTAGCTGTTTGTGTATGCATAATACATTTGATAGCTAAGTTAACTACTGGTAATGCTGGGAGCTTGTCCGTGTCTTTGGTTAAGAAGATCCATGAAATCTACAACATGGTTAGTCTTCACATAATCATTTACCTTCACTAAATGATTTAGCATTTTTCTATTTGTATAATCAGAATCTTGTCATGAATTTATTTCCTTAGTTTTAGTCCTTAATATTATTCTTATCTATGCAGTTAATAGCACATTCTGCATTTTCTACCCTGTTGTCACTATATTCATTGCGTGGCTATAGGTATGCTTCTGAACTTAGTTTTTGAAGTCTATAATGCTTATTATTCCCACAATCATGTAGCTCATAACCTTATACAAGTCACACTTGGGAATTCTAGAAGGTTCACAAAGAGTAAAATGTACAGTAGAGAGTAGAACGTGAGACTATTCTTGCCACTTGCCATGGAATTTATTATAGAGCACACTTCAAATAACAAACTTCCTAAAGATTTTGATTTTTAATCTACAAAATATTCAAGAAAAGGTGGTGCTGTTATATCTAAACCAAAGAACCTAAATATATTACCAAATAAATTGAGTGAGCTTTATTGACATTAAGTTTTCTTGCGTCAGTTATTGCCAGAGCGAAATTGTGTGCCACTAAATGAGCATTTCCACATGCTGCATATTTGAGCATATACCTCTAAATGTGTTATTTATTTTCACTAATCCTTCACCGTTACATGTCAAGGCTTGAGGAAACATGCACAATATGCTGGTATTGTCTATGCCAATCTCCTAATTCTTGTGATCCATATGGGGAAGGACTTGTTGATTGCGATCCTTCCTCCGAGCGGATTTATGTCTTGTGGAGGAGTTGTAAAAATCATCATAGAAAGTTGAAATCCAAAAAGGGAAATCGATTGAAAACAATGCTCGGACTTCGTGATAAGAATTTTGCTTTAAAACAAGTAGTAAAACATGAAACTGATTGAAAAAGACTTGGTGAGCAACAATGGTCAGACTTCTCTCACACATGCGCGGATTGCTTGCGGCAGTAGCTTGCTACCGACTTATCAGTTTTCTCCTCAATCGCAAGGACCTCCTCCTAAGGTTGCAGTTGGAACCAACAACTGTTTGGTAGCTGTGGCTTCTGGGTTGAAGGAGGAATAGGAAGACAAAGTTGCTGCTGGAAGATGAAGCTGCTTCTGGTTATTTCTCTGCTGCAGATTGCTGCCACAGGTTGTTGACAACAGAAGATGGTGCAACTTGCTTGGCGGAAACAGATAGCATCTCGATCCCAAAGTTAGGGGGTCCCAAGGATGACTTGATAGATGTCAAGTGGCACCACTTCGTACGTCACCTTGTCGATGTATTGACTGGTGATTGCAAAGTGAATCTCGCATTAGCAAATAATCTTCATCTCCACATCCTCTTGGAGCCAACCCAAAAGATATAGGTGTTGTTGGGGTGTCCTGTTTAGGTCGAGCCTATGGACTAGGCTCATTGAGATGAGGTTTCTTTGCCAACTGGTACCGTGGATAATGCCAACGACCTTTTGTCTCACCTGGATTTCAGTGCGAAGAGTTCTTCTCGAACATCTGGACCAGGGGATGGACTCGAATCTTTAACCTTTGGCCTTTCCATCAGCAATAAACTCGGATCCGCATGATGAACCAACACAAGTTCGATGGAATCATCACCAATGGTTGCAAGTCGTTGTCCATCAACTTTGATTGTTCTTTCACTGTTTGCCAACGGTTGCAGTCGTTGTCCGTAGACTTTGATCGTTCTTCCACTTTTTAGGGAAGAGTTCAAGGTGTACCTTGCAATACTCCTTTCTCACGTGCCTAGTAGTTTCACAATAATCTTTTTGAGGTTGAAGAGTTGTTGTCCTTTGAGTCTTCTCCTTGATTCTTGGCGTTAGAGTTAATTTCCTAGGTTTCCTCCATGGTCTTTGCCACCATGAGTTTGGTTTTTTCTCTCGATTGCCATTGCCATCTTACTTGCTCTCGAGATATCCTGAACCTTGAAGAGGCTTAGTTCGGCTCCAATCTAGACGTGTAGTCCCCATGTGTTCTTTATGATAGTTTAGTAGTTGAGGGAAATCCCGAGTGACACTGCTTATCATCAGAACTCGGTGGTGTCGTCTTGCATCGTTTGATCTCGCCCTTGGTGCAAGCTATGCCATCTTTTCCACCGATCTTCGTCATAGAATCAGAGGTATGCATTACACCATGCTAGAGGCTGGCCGGTCAACAACTTGAGTTGCGGGAGTGCCACTTTGTCCTCGCTACTATACCCATAGAGAGTAAAAGAGTTATCAAGTTGATCAAGCCATGCATCTAATACCATGGCATTGATGGAGCCATCATAGGAGGGTACGTCAATCTGGGCCTCGACTCAGAAGGGTTGAAGCCTTGCTTGTGCCATCAATTTCGTAGCATCATCATTGTTGTCGTCATGGTGCGTTTTTGACAAACTGGTTTCAGACTTAAACGAAGATGGCTCTTTATCCTTCGCTGCTATGCGCTTGTCTCCATCGTCTTTCACTGTCGGGTTAGCTTGGGATCAAATCCAATCCAACACGCCATCCATCTTTTGCGCAAACATTGCGACTTGGGCAGCAAGGTCCGCTGATGCTGCTGGATTGATTGCTGCCATCACGATGTCGTCTCTTTCTTCATTGAGCAGGGTTGAAACTCCAACTCCTTTAGTTCTTGTGATCTTTCCTTTGAGCAGATTTACATCTTGTGGAGGAGTTGCGAGGATTGCTGCAGAAAATTGAAATCCAAAAAGGGAAATCGATCTCCTTTGCTTTGAAACAAAAAGTACTGAGGCACACAACTGATGAAAGACTTGGTGAGGGACAACGCTCGAACTTTGTGCGCACTAGCACAGATTGTTTGTGGCAGTAGCTTGCTGCTGTCTTCTTGGTTTTCTCCTCCTTTCTTCTCAGCCACAAGGATCTTTGACTGAGGTTGCGGTTCGAGGCAACGGCTGCTGGGGTAGCTGCGGCTGCTGGGTTGAAGGAAGAAGAGGAAGACAGTTGCTGTTGGAAGACAAGGTTGTTACTGGTTGTTTATCAGCTGCAGGTTGCTGCTGCAGGTTGTTGACAGAAGATGAAGCTGCAGCTTGTTGCTGACTTCTTCTCTTCTTCTCTCTCTCTCAGTTAGAGTTCTATGGCTGGCTGGACTTAGGCAGAGGGTTGCTGCTTTGGATTCGATGAAGAAGGGTGGTCAGCTGCTGCTGGAAGAAGAACTGCAGCACCTCTTCCTTTCCTCTTCTCTTGGCTAGAATTCTTGTATGGCTGGCTGGATGTAGAAGAGGCTCTTGTTTCTGATGATTGAAAGGGTTGCACATCCCTTGTTTTATAGTTTGGGGTGTGGGTTAGTGTCCTAAGTGTTTTAGGACTCCTCTAGGGCTGGCTGCCCCTTGCTTCCCACTCTCAATTGGGTGCCAACTCCTCTCCCGATCCAAGTCCAACTTGTATTGTGTCTTGCTGCAACTTGGCGCTGGTCGAACCTGGCTTTGGAGCTTCATATTGAGCTCGAGTTGGGTTTGACCAGATTTTCATTGTATCAGAGTTTGACGCAAACTTCCAGTTGAGCTGAATTGGACTTCAACTCGAACTTGAGTTGGGCTGAACTTGAGTGAGTCTTGAGCTGCATTGGATTGGAGCCTTGAGCTCAGGTTTGAGCTTGCGTTTGGTTCGATCAGATTGGGATCAATTTGGAGTTTGGTTCGAACTCTGGTTGATCCGGATTGGAGTTCAACTTGAACTTGGTTTGACCATCCCTGATCATCTTGTCATGTTATCACTTACCCTCCAACTACTGTGGCCAGTTTGGAGTGTTCAAACGACTCCTCTACTTGAATATGAGGACATCAACATTTTATGAAATTCCTAACATTTTCAGCATAATATGCTTTGATCTCTGCAATAATATCCAACCATCATCTCTGGTACCTGCCTATACTAATGCAAATATCCTATTAAAATAATAACTAATCACAGTTATGTGTAATAGCTTTGAATCGTTTGACTTGTTAAAGAAATTACAAATTGTTGATGATGAACGATAGTTTTACAACAATCATTATAATGACCCCAAATTCATGTTATTCAGGTTATAGGATATTACCTACATTATGTTATCAGTGCATTACTTAGGCAATTTTGTTATGTTAGACAATTGAATTTTTCTTACATGCTGTAATTCTTCTTTCTACTGCAAATCCATTCATGTTCTATATTGTTACTCAAGTTTGCCACCATGTATGCAGTGAGGAGAAGGAACTTACAAGTCTTATAATTAGTGATCTTTATTACCATCTACAAGGAAGGCTGGAGGGTCGGGAGATTCCATCCGGTCCATTTCAGGAGCTCTCAAGTTTCCTGCTTAGTTTGGGAACATTTGAGTGTAATGATGAGAAATATGAGAGGATTTTTTTTCTTCACCTTGAAAATATCAGCATGTTTGACATAAAAAAGGTACAGGAGGAGATTGGAGTAGAGCTGTGGGATCTTTCTGATTGGACGACATCTAAAGAAGTTGCTGAAAGCATGTTCATGCACATGCATTCTGCAAATTCGTCTTTGACCATTGCAAGCTCCAAACATTTTGCTTTAGAAGCTCTTGTATCTGTCATAGCTGTGTACAAGGGAAATGTAAGTTATCCTGAATATTTTGACTCATTTCAATTTTCATATAGGCCAGAGGAAATTCTCTTTTGTTCTTTTCTAGTCACTGTTTATTTTGTCTGTTTGTTTTGAATGTACCACAGATGAACAATACAAAAGAATCATTCTTACATGGTAGAGATATCTCAGAGTCAGTTGTTGAATCAGGCATTCGACATCTTTGCAGTTGTTTGCAGCACGTGGCAGATATGCTAGTTCATGAACAAAATATGCCTGAGGGTTTTCTAAGAGTTTTTATAACCCAACAAGAGTTGTTGCTCATTCTTTCAGTTATCTTATTCAAACATAATTCACATAGAACTAACAAGATACGGTTCCTTCCTCTTTCTATACTTGTAACTAAATCAACTGGCTCAATCATCAAAGTTTGTGCTGATGTCAGGCCAATAACTCCTCTCCTGAGAAAAGCAGTTAAACTTGTGCTGACATTGCTCTTGACATCACATGAATTCAGTAACAATATGTCACATGCAGAAAATAAGTCTGATTTTGAAGTCAAGCTGTTAGCTGATGCATCGTTCATAAGTATTGGACTTCTACCAGTTCTTTGCAAGTACACACAAGATGCTGAATACTCTAATCTTTCTGTGGCAACAATGGATTTAATTATGAAAGCTTTAAATCCTGATACTTGGTTGCCAATTATAAGGAAGCATTTGCCGCTCCAGCATATTCTCCAAAATATCCAGGAGAGAGAAGCTCTAGCTTCTGCTCCTGTGATTTTTAATTTCTTGTTGACTTTGGGACATACAAAAGGTGGAGCTGAGATGCTTTCTTCTTGTAAGTTTTTGTCTTCAACTATGGTTCTCTTAAGCAAGTTACATGATGGTAGGCCTTTCTCAAATAATCTGGATCAAAGTGAGATTACCACCATTTATGATGAAAAGCATGTGCATATTTGGGTTACCAGTTTGGCTATCATCATCTCCCTGATACAATCTTTAGGTGATGACATCTCTTATATGGATATTATGGTCAGTGCTCTGCGCTATTTCTTTTCTGAGAAGCCTTATATGCTCTCATTTTATTTTTCTGCACTGAATCGTCTTGCCAATGATCATAGCATGAAGAGAGCACAAACTCATAAATTTCAGATATCTCTCACAGCTCTTAAACTTATGGAAAACAGCCTCATGCTTTTATGTGTGCTTGCAAGATATCAAGCCTCATGGATTAAAGGCATGAAAGAAATGGATTCTGAGCTAAGAGAGACTATCATTCATGTTTTGGCATTTACAAGCAGGGGGGCTCAGCGCGTTGGGGATTCATCAGGTAGGTCCTTGACTCTTTATTGCCAACCAACTACCAAAGAAGAGGTTGAGCTTAATAGAAGGCCATCATTCATTAGGAGTCGACATGGATGGTTTACTCTCTCCACTGCTGGTTTTCTCACTAAAACTACATCTTCTGATTCCTTAAGCACAACTTTGTCTGTGGTGATCAGAGATGAGGAAAATGATAATGCTGATTTGGATTACCGGTCTCATTTCTCTGACACAATTGCTATACATATTTATCGGATAGTTTTTCTTCTTCTACAATTCTTGTGCATGCAAGCTAAAGCAGCCGTGAAGAGGGCAGATGAAGTGGAGTTTGTGGATCTTGCATATTTTCCTGAGCTTCCTTCGCCTGAAATTCTGCATGGCTTACAGGTAAAACAAGTTCCTTATCTATTTGGTGGTGTAGAATATCATCCAAGTACTTAAAAAGCTAATTAAGCTTCAGATATGTTGAGCTACATACACAAGATTTAGTCCTGCAATGATAAAATGAATTGGAGAGAAAAGGGAAAACCCATAGAGTATTACTCAAGATTTGGTGGTCAATGGTTCTTTAGCAATTTCCACTTCCTACTGTTCCTTGTATACTCAGTAGTTCAACTGTTTGGAAGATGGTATTGAGACAAATCATTGCTGAACTTCTATAGCAAGTCCTTTTTTGTGGATGCAATTTAACATAGAAACTGAGCTTGGCATAGGCTATGTTGCTTAACTTTAAATGACCATTGCACAATGGAGAATAAATTGCTTTTACTTCCTCTTTTTGTTATGCTACCATTTATTTTCTCTGTGAACCAGATGTCATAGCTTCAGCTGCAAAGTTATACTCAATATCTTCTATCTTGTCAAGTTGGACAACTGACTTACTATGTGTTGCTGTAGGACCAAGCCATTGCTATTGTCACTGAGCTTTGCAAATCCAGCAAACCAAATTCCATTGAGCCAGAAACAGAGAGTGTTTGCTGTTTGCTCTTGCAGATACTGGAAAGATCATTGTATTTGGAATTGTGTGTGTCACAAACTTGTGGGATCCGACCAGTTTTAGGGCGCGTCGAAGATTTTACCAAAGACATTAAAGGACTAATCCATGGTATGACTCCCTCAGCTTTTGATGCCAAGAAGTTGACATTTTGATGTGTAAATTTTGTGTGCGTGTATTTGCAAGAATATTCCTTTTTAGCTTTTTGCTTTGTCTTGTCTAACAGTGATTCCGCTGTTTTTTCTTCTTTCTTTTTTCTGTAGTGGTTGAGCAGCATGCAAACTTCAATCAAGCTCTAAAGTCATTAAGGCAGATATTAGCACTTCTGTACCCTGGATTGATGAAGACTAGTAATTTTGTATGACGTGCAAATGTAAATGATCAACTCTTTTTTTTTTCCCTTTTCATTGTCAAGAAGCTACAGATCTGCTAATCCATATTGTCCATCTTTACCTATATATCTTTTGCTTTCATTCTCCTAGCTATGAAACACTGGGTACGTCCCTCAAAGGTTTATGGTTAGGAGTTTATTATTGGTGACAGATCTTTGGTTGCTTGAGGGATCATTATTTTGGTCTTTTCATTGGATCATGCTAGTACCGAAGAACCTCGAAATTTGTATGATTGAAAATTGATCAAGTCCTGATTAGACTGGCACCCATGAAGCAAATTTCTTATTATGCTCGCACCCATGAATTATCGATGTCGCAGATTATCCTTGGATGTAAATCTAATATGAGCATGCAAATTCTCATTGTAAATCCTTTTCTAGGTCATTTTTGTGGCTTGTATCAATTAATATGATATGCACAACATTTTGTGTTTCTGTATGCATATAACTAATTTCGTCTGTGAGACCATTTCCGATATATGAAAACCTTGCTATTGCTTATCTAATCTAAGAAGGGAAAAGCCCGAAAGATGCATATGAATGGCATGATGGTCCTTGCGTTGTCTGGTTCATGTCACCACTTAGAGCTAAAGAAAATACTTTGTCCTATCCCGATTTTTCCTTTTATCATAGTCTTTATCTCTTCTAAAATATAGACAAACAAGAAAAAGAGGTATGAATCGAGACAATCTCTGTTGATGATGATATGTAGAGGGACCATAATACAAAAAAAATTTCTTGTTTCATTAATATGATATTATTACTTTAGGAAGGATATGGAGTTGTTTTCATATATGGAAAATATTATTGAGCATTAGTCGATAGGCTTAACCTCGACAGAATGAGTAAGAAACAATGAGAAGACTTGCTTTTAGAATCATCAACAACAAAGTACATATGCTTGATGAGAAATAGTGACGTGAATTCTATCCATGAGAAGCAACCACCAAACCTTCCAAATACTGTAGCATCCAAAGTTTCACATAGAAACGCACACGGTCGGGAGGGAAACGAACGCTTATGCCAATACCGGGAGGAGGAGGAGGAGGAGGAGGGCGACTCCTACTCCCACCCAACGCCCCGCTCCTTCACCGTAGCAGCCGCTGTCGTAAGGCGAGTTGTCTACGAGCGGCTGACCGTCGAACCCGAACGCCTGGCTCGCCCCGCCCAGCGGATGCTGCTGCTGCTGCTGGTCGTACATCGTGTTCGACTGCGGCAGCTGCTGACCGCCCGACGCCGGCCGCCCGAACGGAAGATTCTGGTCGTCGCCTCCGATCGGCACCGCGAAGGGAGGCAACGCGGGCGCCAGGCCAGGCGAGCCCGGCAGGCCACACCCCTGGTTCGCCCGCGGATCGTCGCTCGCCTTCCACGCTAACTCGCCGTCCTTGTCGCGGATGCGCATGTCGCCGTGGTCGACCAGCTCCAGCGTCTGCAGGAAGTTGTTGTCGGCGGACTGCGCCCCGGTGTCCCATACCGGGGTGCTGCCGTCGAACACCTGCAGGCCGTACGCGGTGAACACCGCGGCGCAGGTGTTGGCGCTGCTCACCGGGCCGCACTCCGACTCCCACATGCTCCGCCCCGTGCTCGTGTCCTGCACCTGGATGTAGCAGAAGTCGTTGCCGAAGCCACCGGCCCCGGGGGCGGTCTCGCGGCGGAGGAGGCAGGCGGTGTACTTGCCGGATGGGGAGGTGAGGAAGGGCACGGAGGTGTCCGCCGCGTGGGGAGGGATGCTCGCCAGGACTTGCTGCTTGGTCGTCCTCTCGATGGTGCCGGCCACGGTGGTGGCTTGTGCGGCTGGTGAGAGGAGTAGTAGGACCAGGAAAAGAGTTGGCAGCAGGGAGAAGGAGAGGAGGAGATCCATCGCTGTTTCGCTCGATGGTGAGAAGGCAGCGATGGGATGCATGCATGGAGAGGGAGGAAGCGACTTAAAAGGCATGGAAAGGAGGGTTCGGTGCAACTAAATCGATTCCATAATGGGGTTGGCGGCAGTGTGTTTGGTTACGCAGGGAGTAGGAGACGATGATGACATTAATACGTGATTATAATTGGATGAACTAAGATTTGCCAGTTTGCCTACATGAGAAGGAATGGTTGGATCAATTTACAACTATTTTGGATTGGATCATAATGATCGAATTGTATCTGATCATGTTTTCACTTTTTCAACTGTTCAACCATATTCATATCAGAGATTAGTGAACATGGTCTGATGCCAAAAATCACAACAGGAGAACAACATGTAGATGAAAATATATGTATGTAACATTGTCTAAAACTCAATGAAAATATGTTTGATCCCTGAAATACTAAACCTACAAGGAAGGAGCAGAACCTTTTTACATCACATTACCAGTCAGAGAAAGAAAAAACACAAATACAAATAAATCTTGAACAGAATATCGACCCGAGGATCGATATTATTGAACAAATAGATACTGCTTTGCTGCTGGATAATTAAAGCCTGAGTTCCAGAAATCCCCACATTGGCCGAAATCTCTCGCACTGAACGACCATTTTTATCGATAAATAGATTCATAAGAACCAAACTTTTAAGATTATTTTCTCTTCGCCTAACGTTATGAATCAGTAGTCAACCTTCGGCAAGTTGCTGCAGAAAGAATACTGAGAAGTGGCAGAGATTTTAAGGAACCTGCTTGCTGACCATCCAACCACTGAAACTTGTTCTTCTCCAACATCTTGCGACGATATTGACGGCACAGTCATAAATGTTGCACAAATTGATGCCTATCATAAAACCATGTCCAGTCTGCCTTGCAGTAGCTTTGGCGTATATTTTTCTGAGGCAAGCATAGGCAAAGGCTTCAGCATGTATCCTTACTACATGCTAACATTCAAACTGCACAACATGGTATGGCTTTGCATGACCTATCAAGAACATAATGAGCACAAAATCAGTCTTGCATGCCACTCTTAATACAATGGAGAGAAAATAAGTATGAGATCAGGCAGGTGACAACAGACATAACCACACTGCAAACTTAGTTTAATTTGTAGGAAAGAATTCTAGAAAAGAGGAAACCTTGGATAATCTACTGATGGAAGCGATGTGGAGGGATCTTAAGTAAACATATAATAGTTATGCTAATAAATCTCTTCTTTTCCATTTTCCCCTATAATTTTCGAGGAAGATGTTTACTTTTGTACTATCGACATATGGTGCAACACATAAAGGTGTTCCATCGAATCATGATCTGCAACATTGAAAGAGCAAATCCTAATGTCTCTGTTAAAAGAAAAGTATAAAATACTAGATAAACAATTAAGTTGAATATTTATGAATTCCCAAAATCTGAGACTACCTCTTCCTGCATTTAAGTTTAGCATAAAAATATACCTATCCAGTCTTTAGATATGACAACTAGAAGAAACATAGCATAGATCTCTACATTTACCTGGCTAATCCTGTCAAGTCTTTTGGGATTGTTGCCTAGGCACTACAGAAGAAAACGGAAAGGAAGCTGCCAAGCCATACTATTATAGACTATAGTTTCACACATGAATATTTATTGATATGGACACATGATGGTCCAAGCAAGGACTCTTAGGTGAACTAAAGCCACAAACTACCTAGGTGCACCCGCAAACACCATGTTGATAAATGAACAAACTTATTGATAGTACACAATACATAAATAGTGTAAATTAGATTGCTTACACATTCTAGAGTTGCTTGCTCCTTGGGAGCAAAACCCAATGCCTCCCCAATGCAATACAACAATATTGTAACATCATTTATGTTGAAACCTCTGACATACTGTTCATGGTCCACTCAATCAGCCAATTCCAATCTGATCTAGCTGAGGGTACCCTCTAGCATTAGTTCAACATGCAAGCTCCTTTTTTCCCCCAACATGTCAGCTCTTGATCAAGATCAGCCAGCAACTACAACGAAATAGATTACATCTCCTAGATTATGCCTAAACTATCAATAGTTTGAAATGGTGTAACCTCAAATTTACAGTTTTGCAAACTGTACTATCAATTCAAATATTTAACAGTAACAAGTATAAGAATATAATGAAAAAGATGTAATCTGAGGTATATTATATCAAGAGCGACCACCATTAACATTCTCACATGCTTTCAGAATTATATGTAAATTAGAATATTAAATTGATCTGAGTGATAACAAGTAGAGACCACAACATGGTCAAGATGCACATTAAAAAATGACCTATGGGACAATTGCTGAAGCAAGTTAGTTGAACCGCCAAGCATAATTTTTTTAAAGAATGACCAAAAGTAATGGATTTATATTAAAAAAACTTAGTTGTAAAATTCTGAGTTTGCTGGTCATTGCTGAAGGTCATGGAATCCAAAAGGAACAGTGGTTCTACTTCATGCACATAACACAGAAAAAAGTGCTTCTTTAGAGCTACTAACTCAGGGAACCAGAGAACTATGCTTCATCTGACAAACTAATGTTCCTGACACATACAACCTCCTCCGCGGGCTGCAATTGATCCAAGGCTCCCAAAGACTGGATCTCATTATCAAATGGAATCCAGCTGGAAGCTCGTTCTTTCATTGCTTTGTTCTCCTGCATGAGGTGTCTGACCTTCTCCACAGATTCCCACCGTCCAAGATCTGCATAGAAATTTGAAAGCAGGACATACGCTGTCGGACATTCTGGATCCGACTTAATAGCCCTTTGTGCCACCATCCTTCCAAGCCGTAAGTTCCCATGAATCCTACAAACCCCTAGCAATGCGTTCCATGCTCGAGCACTGGGTCCACAAGGCATCTCCCTGAGGCATTCTGTTGCCTCTTCAAGACGCCCTGCTCGGCCCAGCATGTCTACCAAACACACATAGTGATCTTCATCCGGAACAACACCATGTTGTTTCCTCATGGAACAGAATAACTGTAACCCCTGCTCTACAAGGCCTGAATGACTGCATGCAGTCAAAAGAACTATGAAAGTATTAGCATCAGGCTTTGTCCCTGTTTTAATCATCTCCTCAAACATTTTAACGGCCTCTATTCCATCACCATGCTGCCCAGCAGCCGACATCATTGTATTCCACAACACAGTGTCCATCCTGCCAGCATCCGTAAGGTCAAAAACCCTTTGACCTCCTGCCAGATCCCCACACTTGGAATACATATCAACGAGAGAACTGATGACTATGGCATTTGGGCTGAAACGGGTTCTCAGCAAGCGAGCATGGATCTGCTTTCCATGCTTCACTGAAGCAATAGCACCGCAGGCACAAAGGGCACTGCTGAAAGTGAACTGATCTGGCGGAACTCCCAATTTCATCATGTTTCTAAACAGATCCAGAGCTTCGAAAGGGTGGCCATGGCGTGTGTAACTTCCAATCAAGGCAGTCCAGGAGATGGAATTCTTCTCCGGCATCTCATCAAACACCCTACGAGCAGAAACTAGGTCGCCGCTGCTGGCAAGACCGTGAACCAGGGTAGTCCAAGCTAGCACATCTCTGGTAGGCATCTCATCAAACAGCTTCCTGGCATCATCCACAAACCCACATTTCGTGTAAGAGTTGACCAGAGAGCTGGAGATGATGATATTGGTCAAGAACCCGACAAGGAGCACCTGGGCGTGGACCTGGCGGACGAGGTGCGCCTCCCCGAGCCGGACGCAGGCGACCAGGACGCCGGAGAAAGTGTGGGCGTTGAACCCGAGTGAGAAGCGGCGGAGCTGGGAATAAAGGCCGACGGCGTCGCCGCAACAGCCAGCGCGAGCGAGGGCGAGGATCATGGTGTTCCACGATACGACGTCGCGGTGGGGCATGCGGTCGAAGAGGCGCCTGGCTTGGTGGAGCATGCCGAGGCGGGCGTATCCTGCGAGCATGGTGTTGAAGGAGAAGAGGTTGGGGGTGGCCATCCGGCGGAAGAGGCGGCGAGCGTCGTCAGGGCGGCCGCGGAGGAAGTGAAAGGCGAGTAGGTGATTGGCGAGAGGAGGGGTGGGGGCAACACAGAGGAGGCCGGAGAGGCGAAGGAAGAGGTGGACGCGGCCGGCTAAGGGAAGGGCGGCGGGGGACCGGAGGCACAAGCGGAGGAGGAGGGCGAGGGTGGCGGAGTCAGGGCGGAGGCCGCAGCGAGCGAGGAGGGGGAGGGTATCGACGGCGAGGTCAAGGTGGCCGACGGCGAGGCAGTGACGGAGGGACTGGAGGAGGCACGGGGCGGGATGGGTGGGCATCGGGAGACGGCTGCGGGTGCCGCCGGCCTCATCGTGAGGGCATCAGACCCTGTGCGCTCTTCGTGTCCGGTCCGGACGCGCAGCGTCAACCCAATACAAGGACGGACGAATACAACCATGGGATATAGGAACGGGAATCTTGATGAGATCATGTGACGTGTCAGTGTTTAGCTCGAGTCCACAATAGTTTCAGATTAAATCAGGTTTGGGTTTGATTAGGCAGGTTCGAATCAGACCCGATCGTGATCCGACAAGCTAAACCCGATCGTGCTGCTGGATCTTGTTCCAACCCCAACCTATTTGTCAATCTTAAAGCCGTCCTTATCGTATCATGTAGATATTACCCCATTCCAATAGCGCCGTTCCGAGGAGCCACCCCCCCAAGGCAAAGGCTATTGTGGACATGGCCCATGCGGCAGTGGCGGTAGCGCCGCTGCGGCACTCGTCATGGCCGCGGCTCTCCTCCCTCTTCTCCTCCGGGAAGCACCGACAGCACCTCTTCTTCTCTGTCGCCCGCTCCCTCAGGCCTCTCGCCCCTCAGGCGCCCGAGGGCGACGGGGACGGCGAACCGGACGCGCCCGCGGTCAGGAAGAGCCGGAACGAGCTGAAGCGGGAGGCCCGCCGCGCCGTCAAGTGGGGCATGGAGCTCGCCAGCTTCTCCAACCCGCAGATCAAGCGCGTGCTTAGGTTTTTGCTTTTGCTGCCTCCCGCCCGAGTTCTCATCCGTTGTTTGCTTTATATGCGGATTCTTCTGTTTGCAGAATTGCCTCTCTTGAGCGTGAGGTCTTCGACGCCCTAATTCTAGTGAAGGTAGTGTTGCTACATTGTGGCCCTTTTGTTATTATGTTTCCTCGTCAAAAATAATTCTTGTTTGATGCTTGTTCTTACTGGGGACATGGATTTTGTTGTTCCCAGAGATTAGGTCCTGATGTTCGCGAAGGGAGGAGGAGGCAATTCAATTACATTGGTATTTTGAGTTTACTTGGCGTGTCATGTTATTGATTTTACAGAAAAGAAAGCAACTTTTTTTCCCCTCGGTTCAATGTTACATTATCTCGTGAAATGATTTCTTGAGATCATTAAAAATGTGATTAGGATGACTATGACCAGATGCGTAGATACAGATAATTCAAATTTAGGTACTGAAATTTCCAAAGCATTTGTTATCAAGAATGTGAACCACAACAAGCAGTGACCATGAATTTGCTGAATTACAAACCAGAAAGAGGTGTGCATACTAAGACTTTCAGTACGAATTTCTTAGCATGCGATTTACATCAAGGAATAAAACCATGTTCCGAAGGACAATGAGATTATTTAATCAGGTGTGACAATATGTAAGTGCAAAGAAAAGATTAAAACCTTCTATTAGCATTATGTGCACCATCGAATATCAGCTTTGTGACAAGATTATGATACATACACTAGCTTAAATGCATGTGTTTTCTTTTGTTCAACATTTCATTGAATAACTACTGCTCTTGGCTCTTGGAACTACAATATAGGAAATATTCTTTTGCCTACTTAGCAATGAATGTTGTATTTGTTAAAATAGAATTTTTCTTGCTGCATTAATTTCAATCAATCTCGTTCTGTATTATGGGCTACATTTTGAACTTTTGATTGTCTCTAAACCTTTGAATCTCAATTTTTAGGTTGGGAAGATCAGGATAAACCAAATTATAGATTAGAAAATGAAAAATGCAGCAACCTGTTGATCTTAGCTCGATCAATGACACTAAATTTTATAGAAGCTCCTCCTCGTTGCTGTCCTGAATGAGCTTTATATCAAAGCTCTCTTTCCTTGATGTGTCTTGCCTCTTTTGGAGGTTTTTACCTGTGCCATAGGTGCATGCAAATAGGGAGCTTTTATCTTTCTTATACACCAAAATCGTGCTTAGAGGATCATAGTACATAAAAGCTTGTCTGAACTTCTATCTACAGGTTTTGAACATTTAGATGCCATAAAAGATCACACAGTGGAAATCATGGTTTTGCTGGTTATTTCATAATGCATTTGTTATGTTTTAGGACGACTTTTGCGGCAAGCACAACCTGATTTGATGGATGCTCTAATTCAAGCTTCTAAAGATGGTGACAATGATAGTTTGCTAGCTTTGGCTGGTCCACAGACATTGTCTGATGAAAACGATGAAGAGGAAGAAGAAGACACATATGGGGAAGAGGCTGTCTATGATACATGGGCCTCCGTTGAGGTTAGATAACTTCTGAGTTATTTTGACCACTATAGCAATAATTATCACTTCTGAGCTAACATCATGATATTATTGGGAATATCAATTAGGTATCTGAAAACCATGCAGAAATAGCTGCCAAGTGGTTTGATGGCCTTGTTGATAAAGATGCTTTAATCACAAAGGAAGTGTATTCAATTCACAATGTTGAGTTTGATCGTCAGGTATAACTATAACTATCTTCTAAATTTATATAGATATATTCAGTACGGAATAGAGTCTTGAAGTTTCTTTATTCTGCCATTTACATTATCTGACAAATAAAAGTAGCATTATCTATAGGAAGTCTTCCTTTTTTCTAGTCAAGTGTTGATTGGCATGCAGCTTCTTATAATATGGTAGTCTTATTCTGAGGGATTGTTGCTTTGTGTTTTTTAACTAAAATGTCAAGCCTTCTGTAAGCAATCACTCCTGATTGCTTAGAAAGAAAAATCACTCCTGACACCTTCATGAATCCTTTCACATAATTTAACTCTGTTAAGGGCAACTTCATTAGAAAAACACATGGTTTTCTTTAGCTCCTCTTGATCTTCGTCTCATTTTCCTAATATGTCTAATTTGTACTTATGCTTCTTTTGGAATCAATTAATTGGATTGCTTGCAAAGACTATGATGGAGTTGGAAAGGGAATTTGAGTTTCACTAAGTGTTGTATCTTCAAAAAAGAAGATATTTTGTTAGATGTTTTTGGTATAAGAGGTGTCTTGAAGATAGGAGACATGCTTTTTTTAAGTTAATATTAGTTGTATGAGAAACATATCATTTCATAATATAATAGCAGCAATTATGCAATGCAACTACAATCATTACAACCGAGTGAAGATTAAAAAAGAATAAACTAGAATGTATTAAAATAATATATAGTAACTAAGATAAAGGAGGGATTTTTGGGAAAAATAGGAACAAATGGATATAACCATAAGATAGAAGCTAGAAATGAGAATCTGAAAGTTGTTCCATTCAAGGTAAACCACTGCATGCATGTCCTTTTTATCCAGCTGCAATTCTATGTTGGTAGGTGGCATAGCCTTTGTTTGAATTCAAGCAGAACTTTGATAAATTCAAAACAAATACTTATTCAAACTAATACAACGATTAGCTTATTGAAGTTAAATATCTTAATTCTTAATTAGAGAGAAATTAAAGGTCTACTTTGAACAATTTTCTTTGGCAACACAACCCACTTGCTTGTTATGCAATGAAATGTTATTCTATTTTCTCTCATTTAAGCATATAGTATATATACTTCACTTTGGTTCCCTAATTTAAAAAGTACAAAGAATTTAAATGCATGAATGATGGGAATTAGAAAAAGTGAAAAGTGTAAGGAATTAAACGAAGAAGATAGAAGATAGAAATCGTAGAAGAAGCTGTATTTCTCATTGAGATGTTCTTCCTATTTATACAGGTTAGGAGGGAGGATTTCCCTCAACAGAACAGCGAAGTTTCTTCATATAGTTGGAAAAATCTTATCTGCTATCAAAAAGAACATTCATATTCCCATAAATGTTCTAGAGAATTGAATTGCTCGTGGAACTTTGAAAACTCGGTGTATTTTTGTCAATGCCCTTCTATTCTATCTACAAGGATGACCTAATACATGAAGCATCTGATAACGCAGAATCTGGGAAAATCAGTGTGTATATCCTAACTCCTACAAATATAGAGATTGTTTACATGACTTAAAGCCTTGATACCTCAGTTGCAAAGGAGCAGCCATACAATTTAGTAACCTTCTATATACCATCTGCATCACTTAAATCTAATATTTACTATGATATTCGGCGTTGGACTACTGGGCTATGCTGTCCACTATAATTCTTGTCTTCACTGAATCGTCATGATTAGCCTGTCAGGATAATGCTTTACCTTTGTCATTTTATAGTCTGCTGAACTCAACTCAATTAGTCATTTTTATTGGAAATTGCACCTGTAAACTTCATGTACTGCTATAAAATAAATTATAGGAAATTGTAATATGAAGTTGCAGCCCAGAAATATATGGTTTGCTGTCTAAAATTCTCCTTTTAACAAATTATATAGTTACTAAATCCTAATTTAGATCTGGGAAGAATACTTGTGTAACGAAAGAGCGCCTCGCTTTTCTGCTGGCTGTCTATAGTTCTTTGGTCTGTTTATCGGTACAAGTTTTCTGAAGTACAAGTGACATCATTTGGACTCAAAATTATTAAAGAAAAAACATCTGCCCATCCATATATTCTCAATTTGCTTAAAACTGCTTTCTTGTATTCTGCTAAACTTTTTATGTAACTTACCTTCTCCAAGACATGTTCATTGAGATCTAGCTTTGTATTATGTCATTCTAATAAATTCAATTTCAAGAGAGTTTTAAATTTACTTTGATATCCAATGTGGTGGCTCATGTCTGAAATGTAGTTAACAACTTTACCAACAGGAACTGCGAAAACTTGTTCGAAGAGTACAATCAATTCGAGAAGGCATTCTGGTTGATGAAAGTGGGGTGGGATATGATGCTATGTTAACCAGTGCAAAGAAGCCTCTCATTCGTTTTCTATGTTCGCTGGCCAAGAAAACATTGGCTGCATAAAGGTTCATTTTTATTTATATTTTCCACAGTAGGAAAGAAGATTGTGGTGTTAAACAAGAAATATCATTTCTTTAGGGGGGCTCTCTCTTTCTCCATTTCTCTCTCTCCCTCCCTCCCTCCCCTAACATTTTTCTTGTAAAAAGTTTGTTGCTTTATTTTCACACTCATCATATTAGTTAGACTTGCTTCCTTGACATAGAATATGGTTCAACATATCGTATTCTCTAGCTGACTACGATATCTTGTTCAGGTCAAATGTAACTGTAACACTTCCAAAGATGGATGGATGGAGAGAAAGTTACTACTATTGCTGTCATCTCTTGGCAACAAAATATAATCTTTTAAAACTGTCAAAGCTTCAGTTTATGCCATCACAACTCAATGGTGTGGATAACATTGGCAATCAAAGAAAACAGGGTTAGACCTTGCCAAAGGTATTCTTTCCATTTTGTGGAATTCCCAACTTTTTGGCTGATGATGACTCTTTGGCGCTCAGCTCTGTTGGAATCTGTTTTCTCATATTGGTATGACCCCCAAGTACAATAGACTCTGGTTGATAGAAAAAGTATGTATTTATCACAAGAAAAGCTTCTTTTCAGTATTCATCATGCGGCAGTTCGAACATTTGACATGGCTCTCGACAGTTTTTATCTAATAATTGAATCCAAACAAGGATTGTTCATGGTTAACAAGAATGTTCATGACTGTGTAGTAGGCACAAACAGGCGACACTGTGTGAAGAACATGGAGGTGTCAATACTCAAGTGGTTTCTCCTTTTATGGTTAGAGTCTTGGATATCATGCAATGCTAAATGTGTATTACAACTCAAGTGGTTTCTCCTTTTATGGTTAGAGTCTTAGATATCATGCAATGCTAAATGTGTATTACAACTACCAAAGGCATGTGATGAATTCTGGACTACATAGTCTTCACAAAACTTCAGCTAATGTTGTTTTCCTCATCTTTTTTTAAAGTTGAGCAGTTTCATTCTTTTGTCACAGTATTTGATTGAACAAACCTCTCAGTGGGTCTCGGTTATAGTTGGTATTCCCTGTACTTGATCACAAGAAGTTGGAATCTTACAGCTTCTTGTAGGTGTCAGTGGCCTGGGAACCTTAATGATCTACAGGAACAATAACTGGATTCTCCAAGGGATTAAATAGATATTGAGTCATCCATTAAATGGTTGGTAGCCCAGATCATGAAATCCTTAGAACTCACATGCTGAATTGTAGTTTTCTTGAGTTGGACTACTTAAATCTAGTGTTTACTGCAATGAAGAGTCATATCATTGCTTGATTGGATCATCTAATCCAAATTAAAAGGTGTTGTGCCACTACCTTTCCCATATAAAAATAATTCATGTTTCCATTGATTATAATCATACATGCCAAAGAACTCTCACCAAAACTTCCCTGCCATCCACATGGCGCAGGAGAACCTTGAACTTTTGTTTACTATTTTTCACATCATTATTGGTCAATTTCTTAGTCGTATCATATACAGCTCCTCCTTTCTCTCTTTTTTTTAAGTTGTGTGTGGAGGATTGAGTCTCTCAATCCTGGGAATTCACTTCTTGGGTCTCCGAATCCTTGTGGCTCAACAGCGGCACATAACCCCATCGCCTACCGTCTCCCTCGCAGAGCTCGAAGTAGAGCTGCCGACATCAGCAGGGGAATAGACGAGCGGCTCTCGAGTATGGCTGGATTCATGGCTAGTTTGTCTGCGACTCTTTTGGTCTTCTTTCTTGTTCAAGGTATGGTGAAGTGTTTTCCTGCGTTTGCCTGTGTTTTATGATTTAGGAGGTGAAGTGTTTGGTTTTCAGGGTGGTCGGCGGCTAAATTCACGTTAACCAACAACTGCGACTACACGGTGTGGCCGGGCGTGCTATCGAACGCCGGAGATGCTGCGCTCTCCACGACGGGATTCGGTCTGGAGACAGGGCAGTCGAAGAGCCTCGACGCGCCCGCCGGGTGGTCGGGCCGTCTCTGGGCCCGCACCCTCTGCGCCACCGACTCCTCCGGCAGGTTCAGCTGCGGGACCGGGGACTGCGGGTCCGGCAAGGTGGAGTGCTCCGGCGGCGGCGCCACACCGCCGGTCACGCTGGCGGAGTTCACCTTGGGAGGTGGCGGCGGCGGAGGCGGGATGGACTACTACGACGTGAGCCTGGTGGACGGCTACAACTTGCCGATGGTGGTGGTGGCGCAGGGGGGGTCTGGCGGCGGTTGCGGCTCGACCGGGTGCGTAGCGGACCTCAACGGGGTGTGCCCGTCGGACCTGAAGGTGGTGGCGACGCGGTCGAGCAGCCAGGGGAGCGAGGTCGTGGCGTGCATGAGCGCGTGCGAGGCCTTCGGGTCGCCGCAGTACTGCTGCAGCGGCGCCTACGGCAATCCCAACACGTGCAAGCCCTCGTCCTACTCGCAGTTCTTTAAGAACGCCTGCCCCAAGGCCTACAGCTACGCCTTCGACGACGCCACCTCCACGTTCACCTGCGCCGACGCCGACTACCTCATCACCTTCTGCCCCAGCACCGCCAGGTAAATAGTCAAACGGATGGAGACCGAACCAAGTTGAATGCTTTACCATTACAGAGCTCAAATTTAAGTCCATCTGCATTTGGACAAGCCATTTTAGCTGGACAAGGGCGTCGATAGACGAGTGGCAACCCATGGAATATTGTCCTCGCCTCCTCCGTCTTAGTTTTAAGCTTGATCTAAGAATGATCACCTCCTCTTCATGCCATGTCTTTACCTTCTTTTAGCTGTGAGACAGCAGCAAATGGAGGGAGATATGAAGAGACGTCACACATACAACGCGCCTTGCTTTGGTTGCTTCCCCATACTTTATACGACTGCCATCACTCCATTATTCGCCTCGTGTTATCGTAATGCCCATGCAATTGTATGATGTTTGTTTTCGTGTACTTTTTGGTGCAGTCAGAAATCCTCGAGCCAGAATCCGGAGTCGTCGGCCGGCGCCGGGCTACCGTCAAGCGACGGCGATGGCGGCGCAATGGAGTTCGTTGGCGGCGACGAGTTCCGCGGCGCCTCGCCGACCGTGGCAATACGCGTTTCGCTCGCAATTCTTGTCACGTCGTGGCTACTCTGAGCCTGCATGAGCTTCCAGGAACGGGCGGCAGTGAAGGAGACGGAGGAGGAGGAGGAGGAGGAACGCACTAATTCTCCATACGCAGGCCCATCTAATTTTGTCGTTGGCGATCGACCGAGAATATTCTGCTGGTGGGGGATTGAGATATGAGAGGGGTGTGACAAGGAAGGGGAAGAGCGTCACCTGATCTGGTGCTTATTGCTGTAAGGCTGGTATTTATTATCCTCTTCGTTTGTGCAGAGCGGCGTCGCTCTCGGGGATGCAAACGCGAGAGGTGGTGAAGAAAAGGAGAAGAATGTCGGTGAAACGTCTCATCGATTATTGTAATTTATGGGTTTGTATCGGAGTCGTTTGCGTTCAACCTCTTTTTCTTGTCTCTATGGATTGGCTCGCGAGTCACTGATGAGTCCAACACTCTTACTGGTGTTCGATGATGAAATTGTGGACACCGCAAAGGTCCATACGACAGAACCTCAACTTGGAACTGTTGCTGCTTCACCTCTCATGCTAAGACCAAATCGAAACGATAAGAGATCTATTCACTTCGTTCTATCATCCATTATTACTTCTAAAGTCAAGGTTATTATTACTAAAGATTATTATTACTTCTTAAGATCAGGATCTATGAGGAGGTAAATGCTCCATCAAGATGATGCTTTTAAGACCACTCTCTCACATTGCAAGTATCACCTAAAGAATATTAGTGGGAGCATATCCTATGATGCCACACCCCACGTCTATTATATTTTTTTCTAAAAAAAATGTAATCATAAATAGTACTTTAAGAAGGGTGTTAAAGAAGGTGTTTGGTCCGACCCCCAATGAGCAACATCATCCATGCAGTTGGATATCGGATGGGAGCCTGTGTCATGTCGGGTTAAGTTTTGGCCTTGTCTCCAAAGGTCGGTCTTCTTCCTTGGCAAGCGATTTACTTCTTCGTCGGATTCTTGCATTCAGGTTAAGATCAGGAAGGGAGATTTTTTGACTCAATCCCTCCGAAGGCTAAGTCGATATTGAGCGGAGTTTTTTGTTTTTGGAAAGAATGAATATCTTTTACCTGATGTCAGTTTGGGATTTTTATACCTACGAGCTAGGGTCGATCGTATGTGATATGATGATGGCGGTCGATTCCTCGGGCGGTCAACTTGTACCTTTATGGGAGTGTCGATCGACCTACATGGAAAGCACCGCATGGCGTCATTCCGAGCTTGTACCATATAGTGTTGTCTCGTGCGACTTCGAACGATGCGAGAAGGGGCAATTGTCCCCCCGAGTTTGAGGTGGCATATCTAACACGATGTTCCATCTCAGTCTCAAGGCTCCATATCTGCGTTGATGTGTTTGTTAAGTGTGGCTACGAGAGTGATTATGCTCTCTCAAAGGGTCATATTGTAAAAGAGCAAATCTTTTATCTTTTTTCTCCCATCGAAATCGGTTTAGGTCTTAAAAGAATAAAAAAAAAGAAAAAAAAAGGAAGGAATAGAGGAAAGAAACCGAAGAAGAAAGGAAAACAAAGAGAGAGGGAGAGAGGAAAGTGGAGAAGATATTTTATTCTTAAGTTTTCTTACTAATTAGATTACTAAATAAGATCATTAATTAACTAATTTTAGCCTTCTAACTTAATATATATATTTTAATGATATTAAACCTTAATTGACAGTAGCTTGTTGTTAAAAAATTACAAAGCATAATGTGTAGGAAGCTGCAAATTTGCTTACTAAAAAAAAGAAATACAGAAAAATGGTCATATGGTGTATCTATTTATATTTTATGTGTGATTAGTAAATTATATTTGGCAAGAAGCATAATAGCAGTGTAACACTGTGCTTTACCAACATTAAGCACAACAGTGAAAGGAATTGAATCACCCTATACTCAATCATATATTTTATTGTTTGCACCAAAATTAAGAAAATACAAAATTCCTGAAAAGATCATATCAACAGACAAATGAATGGGCTTAATTTTGTTTCATCCATCACCTCAAGGTTTTAGATGAATATGTGGTAATATTTCCTAGGAAATATTACCACATATTAAATAGTAATTTTATTTATTTTTTTCTCTTAGGAAACTAAGAAAAACACCTCATGCTTTGTTTCCCAATCTAAATGTTCAATATGGATTTACTAATTGTGAAGTAAAATTTTATTTGGATATCCACTGCTTTGTTTCCCTATGAGTTGCCTCCTCTTCTCACTCTACCTTACCTTGGTCCTCACTGCTATCACCTCTTTCTTACATTTGGTCTCCTCTATTATGGGATATATATATATATAGTACTTACATGTTATGTGAGATTGGTAACAAGTAACTAGCGTTATAATAGAGGACAATGCAAAAAGACAAAACGATTCCATCACTCTTCTCTGTCGTCTTCCATCATCTTTGAGATCCTTTGGTAAGATTGTCAACCTGTGCCACACCTGGCTTGCTCTCGTTCTAACCCTACATGTTATCCACTGTGGGTTCCGTAGTCGCCTCCCCACCACAAAACATGCTACTACTATCTCCATCCTGACTCCTGCTTCTCGTTCCAACCCTTCGACAGTTTGCGAGATAGGAAGAGACTCTCTCTCAAGAATTTGCGAGGGAGGAAGCATGGCAGCACCAGCTACAGAAACTATCAACAAGGGAGCGAAAGAGGTTGTGTCGAGCGTTTCTCATCTTTTCCTGCTGCTGTTATTCCTGTCGCCGTGGCCTCTTGTTTCATCTCTCGACGTAATTACCCATCTTCCTGGATTTGATGGGCCCCTGCCGTTCTATCTGGAAACCGGGTGAGTTCGTCTTTCTCCCTCGATTGGATTTGTGTGAACTGCTCACGTGCTCAACGAGGTCCTTGAACATGTTACACACATACTCATATTAGGTGTCTGGTTCTTGAACTCATTAATTGTCAGCCAAGAAGAGTTAGAAGTTAAACTTTCGTTTCGTTTTGCTGTTGAATGACAACATGGAATCGAAGAAGCGAACAAGAGGGAAAAGATGATAGTCCATAAGCGAGGTTGGAGAATGAGAGATGATCCCGACCACTTGCTAAGTGCAACTAGATGGCACAAACAGCGAGAGAAGCACCGTAAGCTAACAGTGGCGGGTCCAAATTACTCCTACTGTCCACAGCACTTCACACCGACACGAATCTAACTAGAGTAAAAATGAATACTCTAGTTATCATTCCCAGAATGATGGGCAACTAATCAAGCATATTCATGATGAAGAAATATTAACCTATAAAAAAAATGAAAACCATGTTATCTTTACTTTTTTTTCTTTTCTTCCACTTGATTGATGCTTCTCAGCTACGTGAATGTGGATGAAGCCAATGATGTGCAGCTTTTCTACTACTTCATAAAGTCAGAGAGGGAGCCTAAGGATGATCCTCTACTATTGTGGCTAACTGGAGGCCCGGGGTGTTCAGGTCTCTCTGGATTAATTTACGAGATAGGTAATTTTTCTTAGACCAATTTATTTAGATGGTTTTTGCTATATAATTCAACGCTGGTTTTAAATACTTGAATCTTCATTGTCATTGTGAACGATGTGAAGGGTTTTGGAGGCAAAATGATCGCTGGAATCTAAAATATGTGATGGCAGCATTACATTTTGGGTAAAGATAAAAGAATTAAGATAAAATAGGGCAAAAAGTTCAGAATAGTCAACATAGTTAATATACACTACATTTCACACGCTGTTATATGTGTGATATGTTAACAGTGTGTGTTAGCAGTATTAGTATCTTGACATTACGTACAAGTTGTTTCTATGGATGTAACATATGTTTATTACTTTTTCGAATCTGATAACTGATGCTGCCATGATAGCTGTTGAGATTTCTCCAATTACATGAGAAAATATCGCTGCTCTGTCGATAAAAATCCTCTTCTTATATATATAAATAGAGAGTATGATATCAAACATAAGCATTTTTCTTCATTTCATTCTTATTCTTTAACGGTCTCGTATTGGATCATCTAATTTTCATGTATAATAAATAAATACTGCATCGTGTACATGAGCTACAGTCTCAGATCAATTTCACACAACGTACAATCGGAAAACATCTTCAGAGCGTTCGTTGATTTCTGACAAAGAACAGCCTCGGCATTGACCTTTTGTTACATGCAGGTCCTCTAGAATTTGATGTAGACGGCTACACCGAAGGCCTTCTTCCCTCTTTGTTGTACAAGCCGACCAGCTGGACAAAGGTTTCAATTTTCCACTAATACACTAAAATGTTTTGTTTTGTTTTGTTGTCTTGCTCTGAGTGAGTTCGAGTGGGTCTTCAGGTGTCTAGCATCATATTTCTTGATTCCCCAGTGGGCACTGGGTTCTCTTATACAACCTGCAAGCAAGCTCTCAAAACTAGTGACATAAAATCATCTGTAGATGTCCATACATTTCTTAGAAAGGTATATATATATTTTATTTGGAACATTTTTCTGCACTATAATCAGCAACTAAAAGAAAATATGGTCAACTAAAACTTTTTGCAGTGGTATGTTGATCACCCATCGTTCATTGCAAATCCTCTTTACATCGCTGGAGATTCGTATTCTGGTTTCACTGTGCCGGTTGTTGCCCAGTACATCGCAGATGGTAATATATTTTGGTTCAGAATAATCTACGTTTATTTGCAGATTAGTTCATCCTATGAGCTAGTCTGGTGTTCCATATGTTTATGCTTTCACCAAGAGAAAATGAGATGACTGATTGTGACTTCAGGTGTCACGATAATTCATTTTGAAATGGCCGAAAAATGTAGAAGAATTTCCTCTAAATGTAATGTCCTGATAACAATTAACCATGCATCAGAGATTGTATTGTTTCTGGTCTAAGAGAAATAGGAGAACACTATGTTTTCATGCGTGCTTCAAATATAAATGAAGCTTCTGAAGCCATGAAGAAGCTAGAGCTTCCGGGATGGTTAAACATGAGCTCAAGCATTTCCATGTCAAAGTAAAGTTCTTGCCTCGAGATGCCTCTTAACATTCTTCCCATGTTTCAGGAAATGAAGCTGGATATGGGGTGCACTTAAACCTCAAGGTCTGCAATGCTTGCTGGCTAGTTTGTTATTGAGTATTACCATTTAACACACTATTGAATTTTATTTTTTGTTCTTACATGCAACATTACTAGTTCTTATTCTTTGTAATTCTAGGTGAACACTCATCATGACAATATCTTAATCATGTTTCCATGCTTTGCTGAATCTATAATATATTTCCTTCATATAATTTTGGTAAGACATGTTAAATAACACTTTATGTTTTTTTTTTATTTTGCTTTTAATTGATCCTTCCTGGACTTTCCAGTGCAGGGGCATCATCTGCTGAACTTTGCCTTGTTGATGCAAAGAAAATATGGCCTTTAATTATTATGAAATAGTATCCATAAATTATTATTATTATTATTTTTGGTTATATGTTCTACAAACATTTGGAAGTATTTGAATAATTGTCAGTGTTTTTTCATGCCACCAAAGATCCTGCATTCTTCCTTTGTTAGTTTATGCAGACAAGAATTACAAACAAGCCTTTGTGATATCATACCAAACCTATGCTTGGTCGAGGCTGGACTAATCACTAGGTAATATTCTTGATGATTAATTGAACGATTTGGTTGGGCTGTCGATAGGATAAACACTGAAGACACGTACTCTCGAACGAAAATGGATTCACCATCATAATTCTCATACAAATATTCATCGTACTCAAATCGATACAGGACATGTCGGAAAAGAATACCCATATAAGAATAATATATAATTTGGACAACTAGGAAAAGTAGATATGCAAAAACCAAATTTGCATTATCATAGAATTTTGCTAGCCTTGGCATAATAAAAAGCCTGTATTATTATTATTATTATTTGCTATGTCATGTTATTTACTATATTCCACCTTAATATTACAAAGTGCTTATGGTTTCAGGGATACCTCGTTGGCAACCCTTGTACGGACGCTAACTATGATGGCGATGCAATAGTCGCTTATGCTCATGGGTTTGGCTTCATATCCGACGAACTTTATGAGGTGAGAGACCTTTGACTTCAAATTTTCATTGCCACTCCTTATCAGTGTGTATTATTAATGGATCGTATGTTTCCTTCAAAGAAAAGCTAATGCATTTCAGAAATATAACTTAATTCTGTGTTTTCTTTCTCAGTCAGCCAAGAAGAGTTGTGGAGGGAGATATCAGAATCCTAGCAATGCAGAGTGTGCAAGGTGGGTGGATACAGTAAAACAGGTGAGGATGCTGCATTTCTTTCAGCAAATTTTTTGGTTAAAATCTCTAGATGGAGAATACTTTTTGTTCTTTTTGATCCAGTAAACAGAGAACATTATGAACATGCAGGATCTCAGTGGGATTAACGCTGCCCAGATTCTGGAGCCTCAGTGCAGCTTCCCTGAAAGCCCGAAGCCCAACATAATCACTGCCGACAGGAGGAGGTTACTCGAAGCACTTTCCGAGCTCCCTACGTCGAACACTAATGATCCTTTGTGTCGGGTAAAATCCATCCATCTTTGCCAAGCCCTGCAAAATTTCATGCAACTGTGTGTTTCCATTCGTGGATGTGTAAACACAATTTTCAATCAAATGCCAGAATTATTGGTATTTGCTCTCCCACGCCTGGGCAAACAATGATACTGTTCGACAGGCTCTCGGCATCAGGGAGGTATGTGTCCGATACAAACTCTCCTTTCAGGTCAAGTAACTCTGTGCACTAATGGCTAAATGCCAAACAGGGTTCAGTACAGATTTGGTTGAGGTGCGACATCGGCTTAAACAATTATACATATGACGTCCTAAGTTCTATAAAGTATCATTTGTCTCTGACCAGCCGAGGTTACCGTGCTCTAGTATACAGGTAGAGTTCTTACTGATGTACGTATCATCCTGTGTTAGCCATTTACTTATTTTTAGCTTACATGCAGTGGTGACCATGACTTGACTGTGCCATTTTTGGGGACACAAGCGTGGATAAGGTCTCTCAACTTCTCCATTGTGGATGACTGGCGGCCATGGTCGGTGGAAGGCCAAGTTGCAGGGTTTGCTTTCCTTCTCCGAGTATTGTAGTGTTGTTTCCATTCCATCAACACCTTCACTGTACTGATTAACATCATCTGTTCCTCGACGCCGGTCTTCCCAGATTCACAAGGTCGTATTCCAATAATCTCACGTTTGCAACCGTCAAAGTAAGTGCTTATGTTTTCATTCGAAGAATCAAACTTGTCGATGGTATTACGATCCACGGTGCTCACTTAGTCGTCTTTTTCGCCAGGGTGGTGGTCATACGGCTCCAGAGTACCAGCCCAAGGAATGCTTTGCGATGGTCCAACGCTGGCTTTCGGGTGCTCCACTGTGACGAACACTTACATGTGTATCCAAATTGTAACCACAACGTGATCCGACTTTTACTTGTAACGAAGGGTTTAAGGAGGTGATACATATCATGGTTGATTGCCAAAGTATTTTACCTCTTCCGAATCCTTCTTATGCATGTTTACGACAGTGGTAACTTCAAATATGAGGACTGAACATTGGTGGTGGAGGAGAATTGCACCATGAAGTCATTAGAACATTGAAAGTTCTTTGCCACTGCTAGGAAATCCTCCAGTGTCCATCTCCAGTTGGTCATCAAATATATTGGTGGAGAGGAGACACCCGACTTCCTCATAAATCTTGTCCTGTTAATGTTACTGTTACTGTACTGCTGCTGTATGTTAAGACTAATTAATTTTCAGCAAACTCCATTTTATCTGTTGCAGAAAGACTCCAGTCGTAAACGAAGACAGAAGTCGATTCATGGTAACATGTTCGTTTTCGTAGGCGAGAGCTGCGGCTCAACAAGAGCCTCGCTGCTCCCGGCTTCGGGCTGCGGCGGCCCCTCTGCCACCATAGAGCCCTTGGCCACCTCCCTCGGTTGACTCTTCAGAACCTTCCACTTGAAATAGTTAGAATCAGATGAGATAAAATGTAACACCATGATTAGTCTCACATCGAAAGTAGGCAAGATTAAGATTGACTTATAAGGACCATCGAAAGTAGATAAAATTGAGATTGACTTATAAGGACATAATAAGTATATTACTATTTTAGCTTAAGCATTTTGATCAGTGATTTAGATCAAACGAAGTTGATAGGCTAGTTAGTCTATCAGGCTCCGGTCATGATATTTGGTATCAAAGTCGACCTAACATTTGGTGGTCATGATTAAAGATAATGATCAAAATATTATTAGTTTATGATTGATCTAAAAGATCAAATAGTAGTAAAAAAAAATTTATGAAGTTTATTTTCAAATTTTAATAATGATATTAAAACGATGATGATATATTATACGCGATTATAATTATTCATCATCATACCAAGAAACTGGAACAGATACTAAAAAATATATTCGAGCGAGAAATAAGACAGACATGGAAGAATCTTATAGGCAAACATGGTTCAAAATCTTCCATGGGGGAAGTTGCATCCCATGCTAAGCTTCTTTAGCAGCCATGTAGGGGTCATCTCTGGTCTGTCATCTGCTACTTGGCCTTCCTCAATGTTGATCTGATAGCTTCTAATCGAGTTGATCTTTTAAATTAAAATTCGATCAGGTTTGAGGTTAAAGTGATCGGATTATAATATTCAATTTCGATTAATTTAGATTTAGCAAAATAAATTAGCCCCTATAATTTACTAAAAGTCAGAATCCCTGAGGCCTTATTTGCAAGCCATATCCCATAAGAAAACTCTACATCACCAGTACAAAGCATATGCAGCATTAAACCATACCTTTGCCACCATCTGTACGTTTCATTATCATATTACTATTGTGGTTCATGGTAGTGACGGTACGACTAGATCAAGGGCTCAGATACTTGTAAGGTGTCCAATGACATCAGTGCTTGGCATCTCATGAATAAAGAAATTAGCAAACGTCGTTGACTTTATCATGCTCAACTTACATTTGCTTCGTATGGGCGTGCAATCCTCCTCCATTCCTCCTTGCAAAGAACAGGGAAAGATCTCATCATGGAAGTCCAAAAGAGGTACAGTGAAGATGTAGGGCATACAAGTTTGATGATTTTAGAGTCTTTGTCCTTTCTCTTTTACCCTCCATCTCTCTTTTGGCAGTGCTGTCGACATCGTAACAGTAGATGGCCATGAAGCTCGTGGTCTTGTGGCTTCAGGAAATCGCTACTTGGATGTAAGGTGAGCGATGTATTCTTCCTGTAGTTGAGATGTGGTTGATGAAGAGACTGCTGAGTATGCTGATTGATTGGCAACTGTTGAAGGCTGGAGGAGGACTTCGAGAAAGGACATGTAGAGGGTGCTTTGAATATTCCCTACTACTCATCTGTTACTCCTCAAGGTTACTCACTGTCTTTCGATGCATCTCTTCCTTTCTGGAATCCCATTAGAACTGAATGCATGAGTTTTGTTTATTGCTATCAAACCGATATCGTCTTCATCTTCCTGTGGTTTGTTTTGGATGTCAGAGAAGGTGAAGAACCCTCGGTTCATCGAGCAAGTCTCGTCGCTCTTTGGAAAAGATGAGGTTTTTATTGTGGTAAGCACTTCGAAACTGTTTTCTTGATTGATGTCCAATAAGGCGACTTTGTTCTCTGAAATATCGTAATGTTCCACTTAAATTACTTTTAAGAACCGTGATCATGTTTCATAAACAAGGAGAAAAAGGTTGGATATGAGATCGACTGCTTGTTTTCAGACATGTATTACAAGAGCTTCGAATCACATACCAAAAGTAAAAACACATGACAAATGTTTGAAGATTTGATGTCACCACTTGATGCATCGAAGTGTGCACGAGGCATTCAACATTATCACTTTGCGTTGACCTTGATCTTATGGCGAACAATCTGCCTCACTGAATCTGCTCTGGCTTTGACGTTTGTGAAGGGTTGTCGATCGGGAGTGCGAGCAAAACGAGCGACCGTAGATCTCCTCGATGCAGTAAGTCTAAACATTCTTTTCTGACGTCTCATCTCAAATGCAGTAGATACTGCATTTTGATGATGAATGTAGTCTTGAAAGTAGCTGCAAACTTTTCTATGCTCTTCCAGATGGGGGCGCAGTGAAATTGCTTCAGATGTGTAATAGATTCTCCACTGGTTTCATTTTGCAGGGTTTTGGAAACGTCAAGTATCTTGCAGGAGGCTACCTTTCATGGCTGAAGAGCACAAATGAAGAAGCATAACATTGTGATTTCACAATCCATGGAGTCTTGTCTTGCTGTGTGGTTGGTGTTACAATAATACTGTGATCGATTGTACTACCAGAAACGATGCCATTTCTCCAAAGACCTGATGGAGATGCTTATTATATTTCTATATTAAATGCCATTTTCTCGTTTCGCTTTTATTTTCTTCTCCATTACAAGAGATAATATACAGTACGATAGATACAGTAACTAGAAAATGTCGCACTTTATACAGTAGATAACAAATATCAGTAGCAATCTTTAGTTGAAATAAAATTTTTAGGAGGGATTTATGAGACGACATCAATTCAAATTAGAGATCAAGAATTCTCACTATTTTTAATATTCGTGGATTAAATATATTTTCTTTCATCAAGAACATTTTGTGAAATTTTTTGACCCCCGAATTTGGAGTACCCTACTTTCACGTGATTCGCAGGGTTCAACAAGCAATCGATATTTCATGATCAAAGGTGTAATCAAAGGTACAATATTACTTGTAGTAGCGATCCTTATATCTCGTATTAACCATCGAAAAGAAAATATAACTTTTAAGGGAAAAAGATAAAAATTGTTGAAGAGTTACTTTTGTCATTGAGACTCAGCAAAGAAGTTGAATCAATACTATGAATTATTTTCGGAAATTGCCCTCGATTTATTATATGCTATAATTTATTACTTTCTTTATCTCACAAACTTCTTTGACAAAAAACTCCATATATAACAGTGTTATGTCGAGTATATAACGGTCAGCGTCTTTTGTATCACTTTTTTCGAATATAACATGACAAACCATGCAACTGACCGAAATCATTATGTCGGTCGTTATCTGCAAGCGTCGATAATAAGTACTCGAAACGCTGTCGATTGGGAGCCCATCTCTTCCCTCTCTTTCCCTCTCTCGCTTCGTTGGACTCGTCGATTTCTTGGTCACCATGGTTCTCGAGGTAATCCTGCTCCTTTCGGCTTTCCTACTTCTTTCTATGACATCTTTGGGTGATTTCGGGTTTCGATGATGGTTTTGCGGTTTGCTCTTCCCAGGCCACCATGATCTGCATCGATAACTCGGAGTGGATGAGGAACGGGGACTACGCGCCCAGTCGCTTCCAAGCCCAAGCCGATGCCATCAATCTCATTTGCGGGGCTAAAACTCAGGTGCCCTCCCCTCCTCCTCAATTCTATTTTTTATAAGAGACGCCTAGGCGTAGGATCCTATGAAATTAGGGTTCTTGATTTCGTTACGTTTGGCTTTGTTTCACTTTCCATTGTTGTCATACATAGGGTTCTTGATTTTGTTTTATTTGGCTTCGTTTCACTTTCCATTTGGGTTCTTGATTGTGTTTCGTTTTGATTTTGTTTCAATTTCCCTTGGGTATTTTGTTAAACGTTAGGGTTCTTGATTTTCTTTCGCTTGACTTTGTTTCGATTTTCGCTGTTTTGATTGGTGACTGTGGAGTTTGGTATTTCGTTTTGTAGTCGAATCCAGAGAACACAGTGGGCGTCCTGACAATGGCTGGCAATGGTGTCCGTGTTTTGGTTACACCGACAAGTGATCTTGGAAAGATTTTATCCTGTATACATGGTAAGCTTATTATTCTTATTTGTTGTATGCACTTGTGTTCAACATGCGTCTTTTTAGCAAAATACCTCGTTTGATTCCTTTCCGGATTCTTTGTTGTTCATCTCGAAAGGAACCGGAATCGTCCTAGGAGAAAAATGTGGTTTCATTTTTAGTTTTCCTGCTTCAAACTTGGTTCTGTAATTCGTTTAGTATATATTAGCAAACTGCTATCACACTTGAAATAATTGTTTAATGAGTGACCCCTTGTTTTTAGCATAAGATGTGTATCTAGCTATGACTGCAGGATGGTGGCAAAGTCATATTCTTTAACTCTTTCCTTTGGATTGGTGGTGCTTGATATTCCTGCTGAGGAACATAGGATGCGAATTCTTAACTCTCAAATTTAGTTGATAAAAAAGAAATGGTCCAATAATTGTTTTTTGTTTGTAGGGTTGGTTGTTGGCGGTGAGGCGAACTTGACTGCTGCCATCCAGGTTGCTCAGTTGGCTCTTAAGCACCGCCAAAATAAGAGGCAGCAGCAGAGGATCATCGTTTTTGCTGGAAGGTGTTGGCAACTTTTTTTTAATTCTTTTGTTTTTTTTACTGTCGCTAATTGTAGGTTTTGTTTTCATAATTTTTTTTTGCATTAGTCCAATTAAGTATGACAATAAGACCTTGGAGGCAATTGGAAGAAAGTTGAAAAAGAATAGTGTTGCTTTGGATGTTGTTAATTTTGGAGAATCTGATGATGGAAAACCTGAAAAGCTAGAGGCCCTTATTACTGCTGTAAATAATAATGACAGCAGTCACATTGTTCATGTCCCGGCTGGACAAAATGCTCTCTCTGATGTGCTTATAAGGTACTTAGAGTTCTTTGCTAGAGGCCTTCCACTGCCATCAGCCTCATGACTCTGTTGAACTTATGTCTATATTTTGATTTCAGCACACCCATCGTTACAGGTGATGGGGATGAGGGGAGTGGTTTTGTTGCTGCTGCTTCTGTAGCGGCTGCTGGTGGTGGTGGTCTATCAGGATTTGATTTTGGTGTTGATCCTAATGTGGATCCTGAGTTGGCCTTGGCACTAAGAATTTCTATGGAAGAGGAAAGGGCAAGACAAGAAGCTGCTGCTAAAAGAGCAGCTGAGCAAGCTGCTGAACAAGAAAAAGTAAGGGAGCTAGCTTCAGGCTCCCGTGATGATACCATGGCTGAACCAGTTAGCAATTCAACTCTTATGGTTGATGATAAAGGACATAATTTGACGGTATGATATCTTTACACACTTCATTTCTTTTATTTAGTTACTGGTACATTCTGATGCTTCTACACAAGCCTTTTACTTGATTTGAAGGGCTGAAGCTTTTGAGTGATGCATTTCATTAGTGTTTTGTATAGTTTGATTTTCTCCCTACGTAATTCTTTTGTCAGCTATTATTGGAAGTCTTCAATATTTTTGAAGTAAATTACCGGAAAAGAATTTAGCAATGTTTTTCTTTTATTACAGCTTTCTTTTTATTTATGAATGAGTGAACTTTTGCGAAGCTAATATCTGTTTTCATGGTACTTCAATTTTTTTTACACATCATTCTGTATCTTTAGCTTTTAAACTTTTTATTCCATTTTTCCATAAATTGCACTGTGGTCACATAAACAATTGGCTTTGGTATTTATCTTGTTGGTTGGCAGACTGTGCATTCTCTCATGTGATGAAAAAAATGCACAAAAACAATACATGAGACTCCCACCAATGCTGGTCCAGGGAGGGTCACATAGCCATACCTCTATAAATAAAGTCTACTTTTGTAATTCAAACACTGGTCACTTAGGTCACAATCGAACAAGCTTACCATTGTACTAAGGGTCACCCTTCTCACCTGCATGATAGAGAGATAAAACATTCACTAACTCAATGCTGAAGTTTTAATTGAAAGGTTTCTGACAGACGGAAAAGGTTTCCTATCTGATTAGCATGTGTTTTGACTCGTGTCAAGTGCTGCGTTGCCACCTCTATCCACTGTGTTCTAATCCCGTTGTTGTTGTCTTCGTGTATGTCTGCTGAATTCTGGAGCAATATGACCTAGCCATTGCATGTCCAATCTTGGTTTATCATTAAACACATAAATATGAGAGAGAAGCGAGGAATCTGCTTTAAGGTGCTATTGTGTAAAGTAATCTGAGCCAAGGTGCTTTGGATGTGCATCATATTTTCAAGCATGTTCTTTTAAAATTCTTAGTGCATGGTTGCTAGTTATAGTTTTTTTCCGCTTGAGAAATTAGCTAATTCTTTTGTTTGAGACAGTCACAAGATGATGAGGCTGCACTGCTGGAGCAGGCTCTTGCAATGTCCATGGATGTTGCTAAGTCTGGCACTGCACCTGTGGTTGACACAGATATGTCAGATGCTACTGTAGATGATCAAGAGTTAGCATATGGTTAGTTTCATAATCCTTGTAAAATTTATGCATGAACAATTGTGCCATTTTCAGATTCGTTTACATGTCTCCATCATGGTGATTATATTGTTTCTTGTCTTTTGTCAATTACCTAATATGACCTAAGTACCTTTTTTCATTAAACTTACCCTAGGATAGCTTCCTTGTGGGTAATTCTGCTAATTCATTGCTTTTCCAAGTTATCAAGATCCTCTTTGAACGTACACACTTATAAGAAACATCTGCTTTTGTGCAAATCTCTAATATTCACCATATGCATGCAAGATTGTAATTGGGATTGGGATCAGCTTGGAGTAACATGATGAGGATAGTTGGGATCAGTTGAATCAAACTGACATTATTAGGATCTGACAAGAAAATAAATTAATAAAAATATAATATCAAAATATTAGAAAAATATAGTAAAGTTTATGTAATTTTTTTTATTACATTTATGTTCTTGTACGAAAAATTAAGGAAGTGAAATATAAAATATAAAAATTTGTATAAAAGAATAGTGAATAATAAATTATTACCATATTAACTATGGTTATCAGAAAATAAATATTAGCCCTTTCATATGAACATACTACTGTAGTAAATCACTAATATCTGCCGGACAAAAAGTTAATGGCATTTACCCAGTGGAAAAGCTCAGGACAAAAGCAGAAGCATCATCTCTGTTCTAGAAATAGAGGGACACTAATATTTACAAACATTGGAAATAAGTAGTCATCTACTTGTCTGTTGGATTGTTTCCTTAGCTTCTGAATAAATTGTTGCTGCTTTTCCCTAGACATTATTATTAAATCTTTGGCCAGGACTTTTCTACAGGAACATGGTTGCATGCGCACTTGGTCTGGTTTGTATGTAGATACAGAAAAAGAAGATGATTTCTTGGAGTGCTTATCATTTGTATATCTGAAATTTCCTGGAAAAGGATGAGTGTGAATTAGATGTTATTTAATATGTGTATAATCCAATTGATACTTATGGTCTGTATTTGTTTCTATTCTAAAAGTAATACTGAAGAGGTGAAAATGGAATTTGGATAAGATTTACATGTTGGACTTGCATATGGATCATGTGATTTGTACTAGACAAACTAAGAGTCAAATGATCAGTAAATAACACCACCCTGGGGAAAAGATAATGAAAATTTAAGAATGACGTGATAATAAGAAAACAAGACAGAAGAATTTTTTCATTATTTTCTATCTGATTTTGATTTTGTACGATATAGATGCAATTTATGGCATCTTTTAGAATTCAATCTGATGCATTTGCCTTCATGTGATTCAGTTGGATTTGGATCGATTGTATGATGTTGTTTCACTTCTAGCTTCATGTGATTTGTTTGCTTTTACATGCATTTCTCTTGTATTTGGCTTGCTGATCTTATGAAACTTTAACCAACTCCATGCAGCCCTTCAAATGTCTGTTCAGGACAGTGCAAGAGACATGTCATCTCAATCTGAGATGAGTAAGGTGTTGGAGGACCAGTCATTTGTTTCTTCTATCCTAAATTCGGTATATTCACTTGATGAGTTCAATACTGGCTTCCTATTTTTCCTTTCAGGATATATTATTGTCTTGTCTTTTTTCCAACAGCTCCCAGGTGTTGATCCTAATGACCCCTCGCTGAAAGATTTGCTGGCATCTCTGCAAGGGGAGTCAGAGGTTTGTTCTTAGGTTCCTACTTCCTACTTCAGCTTTTGGTTGATATTGGTTTGACTATTCCTTCAGTGGAACTGTTGAACTGATTTGTATTCTATTGCTCTGGAATGTGCTTATTTTCCAGCCTCAGCAAAAGCAAAAGGAAGATAAGCCAGAAGAGGATCATGATGACTAATGGTTTCTGAAGCTACTTATGGCTGCTTGTAGATTACGGTAAGGTTCGAACCAAAAACTTCATAATTTCTTTCTACTTCCGACTTTTCTTGAGGTTCCTCCCAAAACACAAAATCTGCCTAAAGTTTTTGTTGGATAAATAAATGGTTGGGTCCTAAGTTGTCTGGATGATTAATATGATGCCCAAAGATCATTCCATTTAACCAAGATATTATTTGAAACTCACTCAACTGCTAACGTGTGTGTGTGTGTTTGAATTCTCATATTGCAGGACACACCCAAGTCAAAGATGGTGGTCACTTTTTTTTGCATCAACCACTTGTGGAGCACGGAGGAGATTGGAACATCTCTTTCCCATGTTGGAAGTGAGGGGTGAGAATTGTCGAATGGATCTTGTACCCTACTTGTGGTATACGATAACATTATGAGACGTCAGGCCTACGTTGAGACCCTGATTATAAACTATATATGATTGCAAATTCTCAACATTACAATTAAAACTCGACTGCACTCTCTTATAATAATTCTGTTTATGGTATGTACTTTCAGATTCTTGGGAATCTCTCCTTCCTTGGTTGTTGAGTAGGAGTTCCACGATCATATCCAGACTCTTTTCTACATTCTTGGGAATACAACATCCTTTATTACCGTCTCGCATCCACACTCCCTTTCGGCAAAATATATAGATTGCAAGTAACTTTACATGCACACCGTACATAAATGCTGCGTTTCGGCAGGAAAGAAAGAGAAGGATGGATGTCCATGTAAAAAGTGGACGCGCACATGTGCTTGCTTGTATCATTCTCTCCGTACAAGCCATCAACACAGTTCTCTGTATCACAAAAAAAGAAAGAAAGAAAGAAAAAAAAAAAGAAGAAGGGGTGTCGACTTGTTTCTTTGTGCAAATCTGTATTGATCATTGCAAAATGGAAACAGCATTCATGCCACCACGTTGTAGTCAGACAGTAGTACTTGGGGGTTAATTGTTTTAGTCGTGATCATTATCCTCTTGTGCTTGTGCTCACCACCCTGGTGCCAAGAACGATCTTACTGTCATCGGACCGGAGACATGGGCCCTTGAGATGCGACTTCGCTTTCAAGCAAAGAAACAAACAGGCCCCTACGAGATGCGACTCTTGGACCTCGTCAGTTTCATAGACATGTGAAGACCCTCGAAATTGATGTGGTTATATATATATATATATATATATATATATATATTATTTTTTTAGTGATTTTTCTAAAAAAATATCCTACAGTTTACGTATTTTATGTCTCTATTTATTATAATCTCGTAAATGTCATTCTCTTCTGCTCATCTCTATCGTCTTTATTTTGTCACCTTTATATAGTATCGTTTGTCCTTCCTTGCTTGTCGCGCAAAGGGGATGACCATAAAGGCTACGAGAGCTTCAAGCAATGAAAAATCGTAACACCTCGTAAATAATGAAGAGGGGGGTGGCTATCGGAGTCATGAGTGAAGACCATGCCAACAAGATTGCCTTTGGTATCAAATTTGATGATAAAGTTAACAATTTGAGTGGAGGGGCTGTGTGAGTCGATTTTATGTCTCTATTTATTACAATCTCAAATTTTTCATTCTCTTTCCCTCATCTTATCGCCTTTGTTTTGTCATCGAAGCCATGAGAGCTCAAGTGACAAAGAATCGTAATGCATCGTCGATATTGAGAGCGGGTGACAATTAGAGTTATATGTGAAGAGCATGACAACGAGAATGCCCTTGGCATCGAATTCGATAATAAAGTCAACAACTTAACGAGGGTCGTGTGAGCGATTGCCAAGGAAGGCGATTGAGGCCTTATTGCCTCTGTGCGGTGTCGCTCACTCTATACAATGTGAAGGCAATGAAAGCAACGAATGGGAAAGGATGCTAAGGGCATGGAGCATAGGCAACATCAGAAGTGGGTGGGGAAGGACAAGCAACATTGGGTGTAAAAGCGATAAGACCTCATCGTAGGAGTGAGGGGTGGAGGCAACGTCGGGAGTGGGTGGAGAAGGAGGAGCGACATCGAGAGCAGAGGCAATGGGTCCTCATAGTGAGTCGAGAGAATGAGACAAAGATTATGAAAATAATGAGCAAAAAAAAAGTTACTAGATTAAAAAAATAAAAATATTATATCAAAAAACAAAAACAAGAGCACATCACGAGAAAATATAAAAAGGTTATTTTTTTAAGAAAATATTTTTTCTTTAAACCTCCGTCCCTCTCCGGTCTAAATTAGTGAAAAGCCGACAAACATCCCATCTGTCTTGTTGTATGTGCATTCCATTTCTAAGTAAACGTATGCAGTTTTTGCTCCTTCCTTTTTGGCAAAAGTAAATGCATATGGCTTCCTTAGTCCAACAAATGCATCTCCAACGGTTAGTTTCCATTTTATTGATGCATAAGTATAGCTCTTTTTTTTTATAAAAAATAATGAATAGTTGGTTGTTTCAAGAAAAGATGCACGTAAAAATTTAAATGAAAATTCACTAAAAAAAATCTTGCCCATTAATTGTTTCTGTGATCAAGGCCAGGAGTCAAGGCATGTGGCTTTTTCCATAGACCGCATCAAAAATGAAAATAAAATGTTTGATAGTCTTGGTGAGCATTTACGTCATGCGTAAGATTGAGATTGAGTCTCGTCTCTCAAGTGCGATCTTCTCTCTTGGCTAGTAATCTGTTTCTTTGTAGTCGGACGCTAGCACATAGGTCGAGATCGAAAGGGGGATTTCTTGACTCAATCTCTTCGAAGCTCAAGTCAGTATTGAGTGGAGTTGGAGTTAGAGAGAGTTGAGGTGTTCGAAGTTTGACCCCTAACGCTGGTCAAGAGATCAACTTTTATACCTGCGAGGATGAGTTGGTCGTACAGAGTCAATTAACTGCGATCGACTTAAGCTTCTGTGCGAGCGCTGATCGACCTGTACGGATTGGCACCGCGCGATGCTGCCTTGAGCTTTCCAGGACGACTGTACCGTGATGATATCGTTTTGTACGGAGGAAACGGCGAGCAACTGCCCTGCCACGTGTACGCTGCGCGCCACATCATACTTGAAGTTCCACACCCGCATTATCATATATGCTTGCTTGGGTCTACATGGGTGATACCAAAATATGTCTTATCAGACGTAATACACCATATCAGCCCTAAGCTCTGTGTTAGCTCTAACATGACTACTAACTGTTATCGAGTGGTGCCAGAATATGCCCTATCGGGTAGCAAGATAAATGTTACACCTCAAGTTATAAATGGTTTTGGAATTGCATCTTTGTACACCTAAAACTAATTGCAACAGGAATCGACATATGTAAGCGGATCATCAAGAATTAAGAAAAAGAAAATTTGTCTTCTGTGCATGACTCCACAATACTGTTTTTTTATCATTATCATCTTTGGATAAACAAACATTTTGATGCACTTGCTGTACACTTTGGTTACACCTTTTCCTATTCCCTCGATACCTATCAGCTGAGCTGTGAGCTCCACAGGTTTGACCCCAGAAAACCATGATCGGGAGGCCATCAATGCCTGTCCACCAAATTCTACCTAATTACGATACCTCACTATTATGTCATGCTTCTAATTCCTCACATGGTAATCGAGCTGATGACCACAATCCAACAGAGCCATCAACCAACCAAAACGATTGCACCTCCAAATCTAAGTTTGAATATGTAAAATCTAATATATATATATATATATATACACACACATTGGAAGGGATAGATATGTAACTCCACTCTATTTTGGTTTTGGTAGCCACGTTACATTTCTAACTGGGCGTCTATAAATGACAACCAGAGAAGTCAGTGGATGACCCCAAAGGGCAGCAAGCCAAAGGACGGCTCTCAAGGCAGGCATCGACACCTCTTCACGCCGCTACTGCAACCCATGGCTATGGCTTTCAAGATGGTAATCATACCCACATCATCGACGGCCAGGCTGTTCTTCTTTTGTTCTTTCTTTTCCCTGACGACGATGGTGTTTGTTGACGGATGTGAAGCTACAATGATTGATTTGGGCGGTTGTGACAGGCGACGGAGGGGATGCGGGTGAAGCAGGAGTGCCTGAGCTCGTTCATGGAGATGAAGTGGAAGAAAGCGAGCAGGTACGTGGTGTACAAGATCGACGAGAAGTCGAGGGAGGTGATGGTGGACAAGGTGGGCAGGCCGGGCGACGGCTACGAAGGCCTCGCCGCCTCCCTCCCCCTCGACGACTGCCGCTACGCCGTCTTCGATTTCGACTTCGTCACCGTCGACAATTGCCAAAAGAGCAAGATCTTCTTCATCACTTGGTCTCTTCCTCCTCTTCTCTCTCTCTCTCTCTAATCAATCATACGAGATATCTTTTCAACTGAATAGAAATAATACTACTACAAGAAATCTATGTCTTTAAGATCATGAGTTCTACCTTCTCTGTCATTGTAGTCTGATAACCACCATTCAGATGATGCTAAGGTACAAACAAATCTGTCGTAGCCGTCTCCATAAATTAGTAGAGTTAGTGACTCCTTTTTCCTCTTTATTCGAAAGATAAAAAGTTGGTTTTGTGCTCACTTTTTTGCCAACCAATTCTAAAAGTAAAGAGAGTCCACCACCATCAACTTTAGTTACTTGGTGCTCAAGTCTGCCATAGACATCACTTTTTCTCATCGAGAAACCCAAGGATTCTTTGAATGGCTTCCCAAAGTCTTCACTCATTATTCTTCGGTCACTCTGCAACACATCCTTTTCCAAGTCATACGTGGAGTTTAGACTTGGCACCTTTCGATGGTGATGGGCAGACACCAAATCGAAAGAATCGTGCATGCCTGCCTTTCTTGGTGGAGAGAGTGGGGAGGACGGGTTGGATGTTGTTGGTGTGTGAAGTAAAAGGAAGTGTGCTCCTGCTGTTGCAGGTCCCCAACGGCGTCAAGGATTAGATCGAAGATCCTGTACGCCACCTCAAAGCAGGGGCTGAGAAGGCTGCTGGAAGGGATCCACTACGAGGTGCAAGCCACCGATGCCGCGGAGATGGGGCTTGATGTGATCAAAGAGAGGGCCAAATGAGGAGCTGCTTCTGCTGGCTGTGAATGAATGGCCTTCACGACTGCATCACATCACTTGTTGTTGATGTACGTGCTATTAATTAATAATATATGTACGCATAACCAAGACTGACTTTGGATGCTTGACAAAGAGAAGCAGGGAGGGATGATAGTATGTCTTTTACTTCTTCTTTACCACTGCTCTCGATCTACTCGTTAAGTAGTAGTACTACTTGTGAGAGACTAATGTTGTGTTTTAGCAGTCGAAGCACCTTTTTTTTTGGTTTCAAAAGAGAATCATAATGCATATCGAATAAAACGGAACTTGGAATAACTAACACAAATATTAATGTGCTATATTTTTTACCAGCAGCACTCTGATAGTCAAAACTTCCATTAATACAAAGTTACTAATGCAACTAAGATGTTTTGATTCATCACTAAGACAATAATTACGATTGCTAAGAGCACTAAACATTTGGAAAAAGAAATATTTCCTTGCATGCAAAAAAAGCAAATGATCGTTGCATCTACTGATCGATATGACCAGCAGACACCGTGTACCATTATCTACAACAGATAATGCATTTTAACCAGGCAACTTATAAGCAACATAAGAATAAGTTAGTAAAATGACTTCTGAGCCTTTAAACCGTAAAATTCTTCAAATGATAACAAAGGAGACTATTATTGTGCAATATGTTTCTTTGTAATAAAAGAGCACAAACAAATACAAGGACAAAAGGTCACTTGACTAAGTTCGTAGTACCAATTTCATCCCTGTAACTTAAAATGAGCGTAGTTCAGACTTCTTCGAGAAGAAAGAAAGAAAAAAAAAAAACAAAGTTCGCAGCCAAAATAATTCAAAGAGCAGTTTAGATATGTGCTATTGTCAAAAGAAGAAAGTAACGAGATATCACCATCAGACAGCACCATCTGCCCATGTGTAGAACCTGATATTTGTAACTTTGTATATATGTTTCCCTTTTCTCTTCAATTTTCTTCTTCTTTTTAAATTTTCTCTTGTTTTTTGTCCTTTTTTTCTTCAACCTGAGACCAATACTCTCAAATTCTGGCATGGCAAACATTACTCTTTACCTTACAAACCCTTGAGATCATCCCATTTGCGGCTAGTGATTCTCATAATGTATCACTCCTGAATAGACTTCTTCCAGATTTGGTGCGATCTGAATCTGCAAGTCCAATGACTTTCCCAGTATCATCCCGATCGCTATTTACTGCCACTTGTAACTGGTTCCTCAGGTTCCCAGATGCTGATCTACTGAGAAATCTCTCGCCATGATTTGGTACTCTCGTGCTACTCCAAACAGCAGCACCATCTAGTCCAACAGATTGCAAACAAGCTGCCAGGTTATCAGAGTTCAGTGTTGCTGGAGATTGACCGGAAACATTACTTGGTGGCAGAACCCAGTTCATCCAGTCATTACGCTTCCTTACTTTGTCACCCTGCAATACGCATGTGTCAGAAGAGATGAGAAATAGTACCTGCATCTGGATAAGTCCAACATATGCATGCATGAGTGTAAGAGAGAGTAGTAATCTTCACTATTCTTTTTCAGAAGTAAGAACATGAGTAGTAATCTTCACTATTCACCCAGTCCATTGGCCATTCATCTTTCTAAGACAGTGACTCACGAGCATCAAAATTTAAAGGAATGTTCTATAGATATTCACAGCTTGCACATCATTCATCTTTCTAATAGCATTACAAAAGCTAGATGCAATATTTTAATTGAAGTCACAGAAGGTACCTGTACTTCCACTACAGTTGATAACCGCAATGTATCCAATATGAAGTCTATGCTGGTTGTTAATTGCCTCACCTGCAAAACATTGTAAGAGAAATTTCAGCAGCAAATGAAAGAAGATTTAAAAAACTGGAAAATTTAAAAGAAATTCCATGCTGCATGAAAATATTTCAGCAGCAAAAAGAAAGAAGATTTACAAGACCAGAAGCCAAAGGAACAAATCTAAACCATATCAAAAATCCAAAAAATAACTAATTCATAATTACCAAACTAATAGCCTTGGTATCACAGCTCTTCAAGAACTGATAATACACCAATGTCTTCCCAAAATCATTTAAAGGTCCATCAAAATGACAATTTTAGCTAAAAACATCAGATGGATTCCAAACAGGTCATCATCATCATTCTTCATAATGAAGCTGAAATTAGAAAACCATGTGATCTATACCAATTTTCCGATTATACAACTTTGGTCGATCATGAAAGAACTTGCATCATGGAACAGAAAGGTTGTTGACAGGTTATCATATTAAGATTCATTAGAATACCTAGAGAATCTAAGATGATATATTAGGAGGATTCACAGAATCAACATAAAAACAATTTGAAACATTAATGGGAAATGACTTCATATCAATCAGAGCCATTACAAGCCTTCATCATCACCATTCCTAGCATACAATTCATAGATCACATAAACCAACTCATGAAATAACTTAACTATTAACAAGGAGGGGGAAGAGAAACTTGGCACAAATGAACTTGGTCACTTGTGACAACTTCGATAGCCAGGAAAAAGAAATCAATGTGAACCCCCAATCCAATATATGTTACATACAAGTACAACAACCATGGTATATGCCTTTATATTGTAAGCATCAGAGGTGCCTTTCCCATGTAGAATTACCGATCTGAACAGTCAGATAATATCATAAAAACTTCCATGACAAGAATTAAATAACTAATGGCTTGTTATTCGGTCAAATGAAAACATCAAGAACAGCCATCACCTGAATAAGTTTCAAAGTATTATCCAAGGAACCTATGCATAAGTATGCTTGCTTCAAGTTCAAATGAAGATTTATCGGTAGTCAATTCGAAGGATACACAAAATCAGTTACTTGAAAATCCAAGAGCCTAATTCAGGTGAGATCTAAATGGTAATCTGGTCAGACATAAAGGGCACTAAAACACAAATAGCCTGAGGCCAGAATGAAAGAATTGTAGTAGCAATTCTAACTTCAGCAGAAGAAGAACATGACAACACTAACAAAACCAGAACTACGAAGAGACCAACAAGCAATTCAAATTAAATGATAAAATACAGGAAAGGATAATCCTTACATATGACTACAAAATACACAACAATTTATGTGTCCTCAAGATAATTATATCCAACAACACAACTTGATCTACCAGTAGTATGTCAAGATGCAGATAATTTGTATAGGGAACAAGTCAAATGAGAATGGGTATTTAGTTCCAAATTTTGAGTGGACCATACAAATTGGCTTTAAGGATGATCCATTGCACTGTAGGATCAAATAGGGGTAGAAGGCTCCAGATAAGACTTCTTCTAGCCTGAAGATTGTACATATTTCAACAGAAGCTCAAGTAGCAGATAGTGAAAAAAGTCGCTTCATCTTCTTTTAGTTATACATATACCGGAATCTTTTAATACAATTGATGTCAAAAAAACGTTTCAATGTACCTCGTCTTACATGGCAGTGGAATTACCATATTCCACATTTTATGATATGTCAGATGTAGCTAAAACAATTCGACTAGTAAGAATAGAAAAGTATATACATATGTTTAGCATATGGAAAAAAGCAATATACAAGTGAATATACCGCACGATAATATAGTACCATATTGCACATAAATATACATATTCACACAGGAATACTTAATCATGTATATAATTAAATATAGTGATCCAAATCAGGCATAACCTAAGCATTTTATGGCTTGTTTAATGGTTGCCCATGATAGCACTAGAGGCACAAAAAGAATGCCTTGGGGTAGTGACTTGCAGAATAACCTTTTACCATAAGTTGGACAACTGAATTACAAGATGCAATAAGGAGTATTTCAGACTCTGGTTCATGGCCCATCAAACCAATGATTCTCAAATATAGACCTTGAAACCAAACTTAGCTATCACACCATTCTATCTCTCAGAGTAAATCTGAGAGACCCATAAATCACAAGAAAACCAGAAATTACTTTTAAGCATTTAAATTTAACTTACCTAGGAACTGAACTGTATTTTCTCAAAATTTTCTACAATATGAAATAGTAAAGTTTGATCTCAAGATTAAGTCTACAATATAGTTCAACAAACCAACCGAATAGTGGCTTTGGTTGACTTGATTCTGGATTTCGATTGGCTTAGTGAACTGTGAAAATGGAGTATCAAGAGTTGCATTGAATCACCTGGATATCATTCAGACAAGAACACAAGAAATTAAATGAACATTCTACCCAGAAATAGTGTGACATCGACTAATGAGTATTTATTCCTTAATCAACAACTGAGCCTTCTTGACAGGCAATGACTAGATCTTCTATAATTTGTTATCTGAATGACGACTGGTCCTGATCATTAAAAGACAGGCTATCATCTATTTGTCATTACAGATAATGGATCATCAGATCATATACAATCAATTATGTGACTGAACATCTCATGATATCTTTAAGCTTCCATCCACACACTAAAATATCTACCTTTAACTTGTGTTGTAGCATAAAGAATCCTATTGTTCAAGTATTGAATAATAATATCCAAGAGTAAAACTTGATTTTAGAACATATGTTAGCCTCACAACATCCTAAGGAATTGATTGACCAGCCAAAGTTAAGAAAATCAGATAGTATAATGGTGCCAACCATTGTCTTAATCGAATCTTTAAGTGAAGCATAAGGTATAATTTTGACTGAAGGGGTTATCATGCTATCAAGTCTAACAGGCCATATCATATAACTTCAAGTGATTAATGCTATCCAAATGCACACTGATCTTTACACTCTATACAACATTATATGCCTCCTTCAAAACCTGTGGCAAGCCACAATTTAATTTACTTCAAACAGAACATTATATTCTTTGGGAAAAGATACTAAAGCCTGATGACCACAATTCCAGAAGAAAATTTAAACAATCATTCACAGAAGACAGACTAATATTGCCAGGTATAAAAAATACAACTGAAACAGCAACAGCAACAACGCTGTGTTGCAAAACATCATATGATGATGAAAACAAGATATATCCTCAAAGCAAATAACATTATTGATTGTGATAAAAACAAAAGGTGTTTTAGTGTTTTACCTATAAACAATCATGCATTCTGAATTCCCAGTTCTTCAACCAAAATGAGTAAAGTTCAAATACAAGATCATGCTACATGTGAATTAAAAACTCACTCTCTACTCACACAAAATTATTACATAGGCAAATTCAAATGAATATTTTGCATAAACAGGAACCAGCAATAGAGAAAAAAAGAGACATTAGGTATTACTATTATAAGTTAACTCACTCTGTTGAATCCAGCAATCAATGATATTGGAACCCATCCTTTCTCATCCATGTTATTCCTCAAAAAAACATCTCTACACAAATTATCAGAGCTGCAAAAAGTTTAAACAAATCACTAAGTAACCTAAAAATGACTTTGACTGCATAAAAAATAAAAATAATAATTAAGTTGTGAATGAGTTGTCACCTGAAATAGTAATCTATCTGCTTCAGTAAGCTAGCACACTGTGGATCAATAGCTGGGATGAACATTGCAGAGGGCACTGCCGGATGAGGAACAAAAGGTACACCCTCAGGAGGTGGCTGAGTGGCAACATAAAATATAGGAGAAGACATATCTGAAGGCATATTAAGAACAAGCCCATAACAAATGAATCATACCAGCACTAGAAAAGATAAATTTCAAATCATGTATGACAAACGCAGACCTTACCAGGGAAGACAATTTGATTCCCATAAGGTAGGACTTGAGGAGGAGGGCTGAGGAAGGGGGGTGTTACAGGCGGCGCAGGTGGCCTAAGATAGGGCCGAGCACCACGCTGCTGCATATGGATGTCTCTCCCACCAGCATTCCGACGATATCCTTCATAACCTCCGCGCTCCTGATCGTAGCGGCTGCCAAAGTTGTTGTGATGAGACCCAGCACCACTGCCATTTTTCCACCTCTGGTTGAAACCATAGCTTCTTAGGTGGTCGCCGCCATCATGGGCGTGTGATCCCAAACTACCTCCCGGGGAACTATGGTCCCAATTGGAGGTGTTCTTGGTTGTTTTCCCTCGAGGTGAGATTTCTGGAGGTGCCTGCTTGTCCAAGTTCGCCAGAGGCAAAGGAGATGAAGCTGATGGTGGCGATGGCAACGCTGCTCCGCCATCAGTAGGTTCACCACTGCCACCATCGCCGCCGCTGCCGCCACGTTTCATTGATTTTTGGCGTGCTGGTGAAGATGGATTCGAGTTTGTCTTTGGCAAAGAAGTCGAGATTGCATGCCCCTAAGCACAATTTGGAACCACAATCATAGATTATTAGGGCATCATGAATAGGTTTAGACTATTTTTATCTGAAACTTATGAATCACCAGAGAGGCAGAGAGCAGTCCATCGGAATGGGGCTTCAAAGCATCGGAGGAGGGCGATCTAGGGCAGGCCTTAGCGGACTCAGAGAGGGCAGGCCAGGAGGCCGCTCCGCCCATCACGGCGGCGCCTGCGTCTATCGAGCCATTGGCCGGCCGCTTCCAGGCCTGTTTCTTCCCTCCGGCGGCTTCTGATGACGGAGGCAGGTCCTCCGGCGGCGGCTTCCGAGGGGACCGATCGGCGGTCTCCTGGGACGGGATCACGACGGCCGGTAGAGGAGGCGGCGGAGAGGAGTGCGAAGGTGGGGTGCCGGCAGCAGGAGCATCAGGCTCGCCGCGAACGACGTGGCTCCGAGGGTGGCGGGCGACGCGGCCGGAACGCGGGGACGAGGAGCTCGCCGAGGGATCGGCGGCCGAGGAGGCGGCGGCGGCCATGAAGGGAGAGAAGGGAAGGGAGCTTCGGCGATCAGATGAGAAAGCGAAAGGGTTTCGATTGGGCGCGGCGCTCGATGATTCGCAGATATTGTTGTTCTAAAGATTCACCGAGCGATGGAACGATGATACCACGGATAGCACCGAAGAACGGATCGAGAGCGAGAAGGCGAAGTCTCTCTCTCTCTCTCTCTCTCTCTCTCTCTTCTTTCTTTAAACCTTACAACAATGGGGACTAAAGGAACCAAAAGAATCTTTTTCATTTTTAATTTCTGTTGATAGTTACTTTCGATTAATTGGTTTAAATAGATTAAATTTTATGATGGTATTAAAATAAATGATGATTTTTTTCTCCATTCTTTTGTCCATTTGTTGTTGCATACATGTGATCTTATAATTATTCTTTCTAGAATCTCTATTGCAATTATTATAAGATAAAATATTTTTGACAAAAAGGAAAATTATAATGAAACAAAGCCTGTTTGGTTTATACATGCCCCATAGATATGCATCCCACATGATGCTACTGATGCATTTAAAACATTGAAAAATAATAAGATGCTTATATTCCAAAACGGTAATAAATTTTGCATTACTGTACTGAATAGTACGTAATGGTATAATAATTATTTCCCAAATACGTAGCATTTTGGTTGGAAACTTCATCTATAGGACCTGATGGCATATTCTAGAAGTAGTTTTACTTCTAATGGTTGGAAACGTCGGCACTAATGTGATTTTGATTTCCAATGTCGGATGCATTAGGTAGGTTAATTTTGGTCATGATGTGGACATTAGGTAGGTTGAGCAAACCTCACTTGACCACTCTTGTTCAGTACTGAGTCACCATGATTTATTATGTACGTACAAATGGAGCACCAAAATACGAACTATATAGTTGGCTACTTTAATTTGATTTGATCAAAATGACAAGAAAACACTTAGTGAGATCAACTCAGTTGAAGTGTTGAACTCTTTAGAATAGATGTTTGTCTGCGACACCTTAGTTTGAATGTTAATCCCATGGACAGAAACAAGTTAAAGAAGCTGAACGAAATCAAGCAGTCGACATGTTTTCAGCATGCAATTTCTTCGATCATTTCACGCATCACAAAGACGGAAAAAAAGGCAAAAAGAAACAACAGTAGGGATATCCACGACAGGAAATAAAATAGCTTTAAGTAGTCTTCAACAAACACTAAAAGATCACATCACCGGATCAGCGAGGCTCAAGCTAGTATTTCGAGTTATATCATCATAAATGAGGCTTTAACTACTGGCATCGAGTGCAATTCTACTTGTTACAACCATGAAAACTGACATAATACGACATTGTCCCAATCTCATAATATGACATAATACAGAGGAAGAACCATGCTCAGTGCAAACTAAAAGAAAATAATTACTCCTCTGCAGTCAGAGGCATCATCAAGCACAACTTTAATAAAGGAAATGATGTAATAAATTCAGCATTTTCAAAAGGAATTGACTAGGATCAGTGCAAGACAAAAGCATTTTGAAATAATAAAACAATCTCTTCAAGTAATTCAACTTCCAAAACAGGTGCGCCCAAGGCACTTGAATTACTTTCAAGAGAAATGACTAAAAGTCACCATCATCTTCCTCGGCAATATGCTTAGCAAGCTCCTGCTCTTGCTGTTGCCTCTCCCGCCTCTTTTCTTCGCTTTCTTTCTCCTTGTTGGAGTTTGGTGGGAACCTCAGTGCTCTTACAGCTTCATTGTGCATGTTGAGGCAAAAGGCAATCCTGGAATTGAATGCGATTTGAGGTTCATTGGTTGAGTAGACATTCCCAGTTTCCTTAGACACCATCCATCCATTGGCATGATCGATAATTGCATCTACTGCCCCATCTCTAATGGCTTTGGCTACTATGCTCTCTGCGTCAGCCACAGGATTCTCAGAGTCCAATCTCAGTTTTCTAGCTACATCCGCAAGGGAAATCCGAGAGTATGAAATGCTAATATTGCGGAGTCCAGTCCTTATCACATTGTGGCGTAGTCTGACAATTAGATTGTGGGTCCTATCTGAATTGAAAGTTCCAGAAAATTTATCTGCAACAATTCTAAATAGCTCCAAATCTCCAATCCGCACAGCCTAAAACACAAAAGATAAAACTCTCAATAATTAGGATTGTGAATCAGTAATGTTTCTCAGTCAGCAAATACTCACATTAGTAAGCTCAAAGTATGGTGTTAAAGCCTTCTTCATGCCTTTCTGCATGAAAACAGTTCTTTCAGGAATCTCACCAAGAAGCAATCGAACAATGACAGCCCACTTGTTGCACTGGATTCGAAAGCCACGTGCAGCAACTGGTGCTTTCCGAGCAGCTTGCAGGAGGCTCTCTTTGGCATCCGTGTATTCCAACTGAATGGTTCTTATTTTTCCAAGGTAGAACAGGTAACGACAGAACTGCAGGAAAACCACAGAAAGCATCCACAGTACGATTATGAGTCTAAAATAATAAATGTTGTCATACAACTACATAAATGTCATAAATATTCTTGAAGAAGAATAATATAAACCCAAGAAGGAAAACAATTTGAATGATGGCCAAAGCTGAGAACATTACGTTCTAAGACGTTTTTACCTGCTGATTCGAGTGTGCTTCAAAGCGTGGTGCTTTTGACCTCAGCTTCTCTGCCTGATCGTACAAGTTGTAGTGGAGATAATTGCGAAGTAGAAGGTTGAGGAGGGTTTCCTGCAACCAACTGTTTTGCTTAGAGTGTATGAACTTTCAGAGTATATATCCTGTTGCCAACCAACAAACCTGACCCAACTCATCGCGCCGTAAGGTCGCCATCCTATGCAATGCAAGAAGGGTCCTGATGGGAAAAAATGAAGCTATAAACCATCAGCATATTCCAAAACTCTGAACAGCCCTACAGATTTCCACCAGATAAGTGTAATTTCATGAGGATATATAAGTTGATTTATACATACCCACGAATTTCAGCAAGATTATTTGTGAGTTCATAGGTGAATGAATAATAGAAGTACAGACGAGCAGCTATAACATCCACAGCTCTTCGGTTCACATTCCTCAAGCGAGCAATGCTAGCAGAAGAACATACTTTAGCCTGGTCCACATAAGGTACAAAAAGATCAACAAAAATCATCTATGCAATTTCAACAAGGAATTGAAGGGAACAACGATGCAATAAAATCACCTCATCATATCTCTTTTGGTCAATCAGAAATATGAGAACAAGCAAGTAACAGTAAATTTCAAGCTCTGGTATAGAATGCTTGGCAGGACCTTGAACTGCTGATGCTGCTGTGTCCACATCCATTTCATGCTCATCGGGCTTCAAAGAGAAAAAAAAGACAACCTAAATTAGTCAAACTTTCAAGATGCATGATGTGTCTTTAGCCCCATCCACAAGCAACCTTTTGCTACATGGATCCCTCACCATTTCCAAATTTTCAATACTAGACTAGCTCTGATACTATTTGTTAGAACCTAACCTGATAGATAATTGACTCATTAACTTGTTAAGTCTAAACGACCTCAAAATGATTAAGCTCAAATTAACAGTAATACACTCATCAATCTCTTTTAAATCTTCTTACATGACAATGCAACGAGAGAAATATTAATAGGTCATACATCTGATCTCAAACTAGCTTTCAAGCTTATTATTAAGAAACCATCCAAACAAGGACCTACTGATTGTTTCTTCTCATATTATGTACCCAAGCCATTTTCCCTAGAATTTACATGTTGTATGTCAATTGCCATGCCCAGTTGTCTGCATCATGACAAATTGATATAAAATGATCTAAACATTGTAGCCACAGTTAAAGGCATCACATAAGAATTAAATTAAAACACAAACATTTTTTAAGGAAAAAACAAAAAGTGGGAATGGTTTGAAATATATATACATATATATATGTTCCAAGTAACTTCCAAATAGCTAAAACAATTTGATGGGAAACACAAGCAAAATAACTCTGGAGAAAAGTAGACTCAAGCAATCAAAATTGGGTTAAAAATGATATCTGTCTACTGGAAACTAAGAAAAATATACATTGACTTTAAGTGAAAAATAGGTGAAAGAAGGAACATATGAAGGCACCTATCAAGCTGATACATGGCCTAAAAGTGAAATTTGTGGTTCACAATTACTTAATATTACACACTCAGTATGTCTAACCTTCTGTATCATGGTTTGCTGCAAAATTGAATCAGGATAAGATTTCACATAAACAATATTAAATGGGCTTTCACATAGGAAAATTCTGGTTCTAATGACCATAATTGTTAAAATAATGATAGAAAATGACCAAATTTGATAGAGTCAAACCAAATCAACTGGTTAAGTGTGAAATTACCTAGAGAAGGCCTATCCTGGTTGATGTTTAAAGGGATCAATTCAAATCAACATGGATGGACTTAACAAGATGAAAATTGATGCAGAAGAAGAAAGACTTTTAGATTTAATAATATTAAGCGTAGATTTTTTGTAATCGATCAACTTGAAACCAATCATGATTTCCACCATTAAGGTCATTACCTCTTGAGTCTGAGACCTACTTGGATAATAATAGGCCTTCACACCTGAAAGTCCTATATCAAGATCAGCCTACACAGAACTTGAATTGTGAAACAGTAAACCAGGTATCATGTCTAGTTGGTCAAGTTTTAAGGAATTTGTTCCTCATCAGGTCCAGGTGTTTTCTCCATATTCGGCATTCAAAGGCAATCCACAGCCACATCACACAGGTTCTAGCTGAGAATAGTCCAAATCAACTAAGATTTGCATCGAGTTAGCTATAGTTGGCAGCGTCAATGATGTTATGAATTACTAACTATAACTTAAGAACTCTTCTCCATCCAACTTCCAACTTCCAACTTCCAAATCCAAATTACAAGCTCCAAACATCAAGAGTCCTCAATAACCAAAAACCATCCCACTTATTCTACTGTGATATATCATGCACCATTCCATAAGAAGGCCAACAACCGTTCAGCATTCAACATCCAGTAGAATTTATGTTTTTCATCAAACACTAGCACAAAATCTAGCATGATGCTTCTGATAAATGTCAATGACTGAAAAATGTCATTTTTGCGCCCAATTAGATGTTTTCTGCTAGCATACACAAGCAAAAACCAGTGATCTTACAATCTTAAACAGAATATTTTAACAGCCAAAGTGGATCTCCGCAACCAATACTTCGCTGC